TTCAAATCACATCGTTGATTCTCTTACCGGTCATTGCATCCCGCAGAGCTTCTGAAAGAAGCGAGGTAGGTTTTGTCGTGTCTTGTTGAATGAGGTACCACGCTCACGAGGGCCTCTCTCCCTCTATTTCATGTATGGGAACTTGTGGTAGGGAGGAGGGCATCTTGTTAAGATTCTGATGCCTTCGCTCTCGCCCTCGTATTCTTTTCTTCCCTGACTATTCCCGGCCGCGGTTGCATATGCTTGGTGGGGAAAGGAGTAGTTGTGGACGGTGTAATTAGGGGTTTTCTTAGTTTCAGGTGTAATATATATAATCTAGGTGAGGCCAAGTGAGAGGTAGGGTTGGTTAGGGTTGGGGTTTAATTCATTCGGGATTATTTTGGGAATTTCCTGATTACGGTTCAGTTGAGTTTAATCCGAAATTCAGTTAAAACGTACATAACTTCCTCATTTTATGTCGAAACTCAACACCGTCACAACCGAGAGTTTGCATTTTTAGTTCTTATTGATATTAGAGTGGAATTTGATAAATTTTGACCAAGGGAATAATGGTCATTTTGACTAAAAAAGGATGGGGTGTAACATGCAGTTTTTCAAAGTGAGCATTGTTCCTTAAGTTAAAAAATGTGGCATGTTTATAGCTCTCTTTAGCCACCAAAAAAAATATTAAAAAAAAAAGAGATCATTAAGAGGGCAAAGAGGAAAAGAGAGTGGCCACCAAAAATATAATAAATGTTGAACATGCTCTTAAAAGTGTTGCTTAGCATGCAAACTTTAGGAACACTTACATGTTGTTTGCCTACCACACTCTTGTGCTTGAAATTGAATAGCAAAGGTAGCAAGAAAGATTGTTGCGAATGGTTTGGTGATTGATTGTGGTTTGGAATCGAGGGAAGTGTGGTTTTTGGCCGATGCTAGTGGCCCTTGAGTATAGGAGAAGGTTCTAATCGAAACCTTAGAACCTTTTGTGGTTTTAGGATGGAAATGTGTAACCTTGTGCTATGTTTGCCACCACCCAAAAAGCCTTTTCCCCATGTCCTAGACCCTAGTCAGTCAACCTGTGTCCAAGACCTCCGGACAAGCTAGCAACGACACCCATCTTGTGAACTCTAACATTTAGAGGCTATCGTCATGGTAAAGGGACGTTAGGATTGAGCGTGAATATGCACATCTTTTGCTTAAAATGGTCCTGACCCCACTGGTCAAAAGTGAGCGATTCATTCCTCGTGTTTTGTTCATTTCTTATACCACGGTGAGGACCTAGGTTGCTCGATCGTTTGTTCCTATGATGTGATCTTGATGCATGAGTAACTGTGATTGGTAAGTCGCCGAGGCATGTTGTGTGTTGGTTGATGAATAATGTGAGAACTCTTCTTTTGCACAATCTTAATACAGTTGAATGTCATTTGTGGTGGTTGCCAAGATTACTTTGTTTTTGTCCATAGGTCAGTGCCAAATAACCATTGTGATTCGTTCATCTTGTGCCATATGAAATGCCCCAAAAATTGTGTTGAAAAAGAAGTTGTAAACTTACCAAGTTTTATACTTGGTTTGCTTGGGGACAAGCAAACGTCTAGGTGTGGGGGAGTGATTCGGGCCCAAATGTACTACACATTTTACACCTCATTTCTTATTCGTTTAGCTTAGCATTTCATCGTTCCTCGACATATTTCACGTTAGGTTGTGCTTGTTTTGATACATTTCAGGTCCAAGCATGTGTGGAAGGGTTGAGGTCAAATTTTGGGATAATTGGAAGTCAAAAAGCGCAAAAATCGTAGAAAAGTCCGAAGTAGCGACCGTGACAATTGCCTCGTAGCAGTGAAGTGAAGGCGTCCAGGAAACAGCCGTAGTTCACGGCCGGCTCTTGTCTCTTTCCCGGCAATGTCAGATCAGGAAACAAGGTAGTTCACGGTCTCCTTAGAACGTGAACATGGACCACAAACCGTGAACATCGAGCAGTCCATCGAGGTTTTAGAAGTTACTGACGACAAGGCAGTTCACGGTCTCTAAGACCGTGAACTGGGGCCATTGACTGTGAACCCAGCAGAGTGAAGCGGCGCGTTTTGGACGACACTGAGTTCACGGACGCGTTTAGGTGTTCACGACCGTGAACTGACCAACGCATCTGTGAACTGGTCACTTTCGGGCAAATATGAAGACAGCAACGGGGAGAGAGAAAGGAGAGCTGGTTTTTGGGGAAGAAACACTTTCTTTCTCTAGGTTTTCAACCTAAAACAACAAAGGGGAGTTCTAGTGATAGAGAGAGAGAGAGAGAGAGAGAGAGAGAGAGTTCTAGAGTGATCTTGGAGCATCATTGGAGGCTTGGGTGGAAGATTCAAGCCTAGAATAAGAAGAAGAAGAAGAAGAAGAAGAAGAAGATCTTGAGCTGGAATTTGTAATTTCTCTCCCTCTCTCTCTAGAAACCCACTCTTTTCTTTTGGGTGGTGTAGATCCCTAACTAATACTTTGTAATTACTTGTTTAGATTGAATGATTAAGTGTGGGTTTGCATCAATTTGAGTATTAGAGGTGTTTTCATGGTGATTGTGCATGCTCGTGCTTAGCAATCTAAGGGTTGTGCATGTATTGTGCTTAGCACCCTTAGGGTTGTGCATGTAGGTGCTAGCAATCTATTTAGTCACCTTAGCCTAACTTAGAGAGGAAAATCCCCCTTCCAAGGGAGACTCAATCGAGTTGGTTTTCCTTCCGCTTTCTAAGCCACCTAAACTAGGTTAAGTTAGGGCAACCCTCAATATTGAGTAAGCAAATCAGTTGATCGCGATTAAACCGTCCGACCTTAGAGTTGAGTAAGGGAGTAAGTCAACTACCGATTGTCTAAACCAAGAGGTTCGAGTGACATGGCCTTTCATGCTTACCTCGGTTTATCAATTGAGAGTGTGGTCTCCGACCACATTTTCATATAGGTTGGTTGTGATTAAGCCGCTCAAACTCCGGTTTGAGGGAGAGACCTAGGCAACCACTAGAGACTGAGTGAGAGGATCGATCTCGTGACAAATCTCTAGCTGATCCATCCCGTGACAAATGGATCACTATTTTCTCCTCCTAGTGGTTCCCCTATACTTAGTGAGTGGATCGATTCCGTGACAAATCGATCGCTAGTGAATTGATTCCGTGACAGATTGATCACTAGTTCGTCACCCCGCGGTTCACAGTCACCTATGCCACACGACTCCATTTAATCCAACGAGTCATGGTAGCTAGTTAGGGGGAAGCAACTCCCTAGTGAAGCTCCCTTAGTTAGGATTTTCCTTTATTTACTTTTCCTTGCTAGTTTAGTTTGTAGTTTTCCTAGTTCTAACCCCAAAAGTTGTTTTCTAGATAACAACCTAAGCATTTGAAGTAGGGGTACATGGACCGGCCCAGGTTGACAATTTAAATACTTGCTCTATTTCGCACCCGGCTAGAGTTTAAAAACTTGGGCTCTAGTCGGGATTAATTTGTGGTGTAGTTTCGTGCGAGTTAGGTTTCGACGAAGAACCTTCCTCACAAACAACGGCCAAAAACCTTGCTTCTCCCTTCCAAACTATTACCCATCATGAACTTCCCTTAAGCACTCTTCCTCGGTCCACTCTTGCTATCCAATTTGATTTGGTAGCGAAGGAGTTCTAAGACAATGTGGAGGTTTCAATGGCTTGTGTGCCAAGAAACCTCACCTAGAGCATACTCGTTGATTCCTTGTGGCACTCTCTATTTTATTTACCCCGTTTTATTACCTCTTTTTCGTTTCTCTTTCTTTTTCTTTCTACCGTCCTTTTTTTAGGGGGGGGGGTACTATAGAGTTAAACATTTGCGACACTACTTTTAACGATCAATGCTCTCTTTTTAAGAACTCACTTCAACACTACTCTTCCTTTCACTTTCGATCCTAGCAAGAACTGCACACAATCCTCCTATGTAGAACCTCAATGGAGCTCAAAAGCAAGAGCTCTGGGACACAACGACGATACATGTATAGACACAAAGAAATGATGGGGTTCGTTCTATTAACACCATTAATCTCACAAGCACAACGCTACTAACATAAGAACGACCCCCAAAGTCACATGGCTCAAAGGGGTTAACTAGTGGATAATTCATTCGGGACAATCAACATTTGGGCGTGGACTAATTCTATGCCTCCATCATACTCACTAGTGACAACTGTGATGTTGCTTGCCATGGTAAGAGGGATCTAAGCAAACAAGAAGAAAACGATCGTAATCAACAAGTAATCGAGTCACCCAACCATCTATTCCAATTCACAAAGCAACATGCATGGCAATTGTAATCAACAAGTAATCGAGTCAAAACATCCATTCATTTTTGCACACATGATACCTAAACCTTTGAGCTATCCTAATGCACCTCTCAATCATCATCATAGGACATACTCGATCACATGCAACAATTCAAGGTCAATTCCAATAACCACAAGATAATCCTACAAACTGGCCACTTTGATCATGCAAACATTGCTTGGAGCCCTCAAATTTTCCAAATTTGGGAATAAATCAAGGCTCCAAGCATCAATCACACTCACACAAGCATAAAAGTAGACTCCCCCCCCCCCCACACACACACACTTAAGCTCGACATTGCCCTCAATGGCGTAAGATAGGGGTAGAACGACGTTACCGCTTTGCTTGGTGAGTGAAAGTTGGAATTGTTTCTGGGGTAGGAGATTTGGAGCTTCAAGGAAAAGACAAAAATACACACATACAAACACAATACGACTCGCTCAAGGCGAGTTTATTACACAACACAATACGATAGTAGTAGTAGTAGTTTATGTTCAGACACACACATAACGAAATAAATAAATAAATAAAATAAAACAAAAGAGTTAAGAGTTCCAAGTGGAGTAGTGGGGCGGAAGGAAGTTGGTTTTGGGTTTTGCTCGAAGGAAATGGGTGAAAAAATGAAAAATCATCGGATATTCGCAGTTTTTCGGCGAGAATTCGAATTTTCTGGCGAGTTTTGGGTCGTGAAGTGAAAAGTTATCGTTCACGCCCATTTTTATAGGCGAAGCTTGGCTTGTTCACAGTCTTAGAGACCGTGAACACTCAAGTCCGTCCGTGAACTAGGGTTGGTCGACAGGTGGTTCACATGCAGAAGTGCCTAGTTCACGGACGCGTTTGCTTGTTCACGGTCTTGTAAGAACGTGAACACTCAAGTCCTTTCGTGAACTCGAGTGAAAACAAGGGCACTTCTGAGAAAATTTTGACTCGACCTATTCCACCGTGCCTCCTAACGATCACAACACAACCTTAAATCGCAAAACTAAAAAACTTGGCATGGGGATACCACTCGGCCACTAGAACTCTTCACTCAACACAAGTACGAAAACAAGAAAAAGAAAAAGAAAACAAACCTCCGTTGGGTTGCCTCCCAACAAGCGCCAAGTTAACATCACTAGCTTGATGTTGCGGATCTATCATTCTTTGGAACATGATGCCACCGAGAGTTGATCTGCCACGTTCTCTTGGCGAGGCACGTAGCCTCCCAACTTATGCTCCATTAGGTGGCCCTCTTGGCCGTCCAACTTAGCTTTGGCCTTCTCCTTCCTTCGGGCCAAAGCTTGTTTCATCTTTTGCCTGCAAGCATTCATCTTCTTTTCCTTGGGCATAGTACCCTCATTGACTTCCTGCTCAACATCACCACAAGCGACACAAGTAATAGTGGGGTTCGCCTTGAGAGGCTCTCCTCCACTCACATTCACATCATTCGAAACCAATTCCTTCACTTCCTCACTTCTAGCCTTAGGGTCAATTTCAAGAGGGATTCTCTCCTCACCATACCTCGGAATTAAGGTCCCCTCATTAACATCTATCAATGCCTTGGCGGTGGCGAGGAAGGGACGACCGAGTATGAGTGGCATATCTGAGTCCTCACTTATGTCAAGGATCACAAAATCAGTCGGATAGCAAAACTTGCCCACTCGCACCAACATGTCATGCACAATGCCTCTCAGGCTAATGACCGAACGGTCGGCTAAAGTGATGCTAAGCTTAGTGGTCTTAAGTTCACCCACTTCTAACTTTTTGAAAAGCTTGTAGGGCATCACAATAACACTAGCTCCTAGATCCGCCAAGGCATTTTCTATATGATGGTTACCAATACCAAGAGGGATAGTAAAGCTACCTGAGTCGGATTGCTTTTTGGGCAAGCGGCTGAGGAGGAAAGCCGAACACTTCTCGCCAAGAGTCACGTTGGCGAGGCCTTCAAACATTGGTTTCTTGGTGACGAATCCTTTGAGGTACATTGCATACCTCGACATATGAGCCATGGCTTCAAGGAAATGGATATTGAGGTGGAGGTTGCGGAGCATTTCCATAAAACCTCCCACTCGTTTTCCAACCTCTCCTTGTACATCCACGTGGGGAAATGAAGGGGTGGCTTGTACTCAACCACCGGGGGTGGTGTCGGCGATGCCTTCCTTGCCACTTTCTTCTCTCCCCTCGAGGGCTCTTCCTCTCCAACCTTCAGGTTGGAACCTTCCTTCTTCCTCACATCCTGAGCGGCAACTCCCGGAGTCACCTTTCCACTTCCCATTTAAATTTCATTCACCCCGGCATGATCCTTGGGGTTTGCCACGGTTTGGGAAGGTAGGGCTCCCTTAGGTCTATCGGTGAGGATCTCTGCAAGATTGCCAATTTGCAATTCCAAACTTTGGAGGCTCGCTTGATGGCTTCGGAGTCCCGCCTCAACCGAGGTAAACTTGGTAGTCGCCACATCCATAAATTGCTCAATCTTCTCAAACTTTTGAGCACTCGTGCTCACAAAGGTGTTCACTAGGTCTTCAAGCTTGGATAGCTTGTCGGGTTGTTGTTGTTGTTGTTGAAACCCTTGGCCACCTTGTGCTTGGTATGGTTGTTGGAAGTTTGAGCTTTGGACTTGAGGCCTTTGTTGGATGAAGGTTGGTCGAGGTTGGTAATTGCCCGTGGGGCCTTGAAAACACGGGGGTCTAGGATGAGTCGGTGACGACCAAGCAAAATTGGGGTGGTTCCTCCATTCGGGATTATAAGTATTTCCATACGGGTTATTACCCCTAGCATTTTCCACGACGTAGACTTGTTCCTCCGGAGTGGTTGCCTCCTTCATTGCTTGGAACTCCGCCATCTCATGGCCAGTGCTCAAACACCAATCACAAGACATCACCAGCCTCTTTCCCTGCTTCTTATCTTCAAGAATTACCTCGATCAACTTGTCAAGCTTCGCTTCAAGTGGAGCGCTGGCTCCCACACTTCTCACTCCTCTATCATTACTTCTTTTCCCGCTCCTCGTCAAGCCCCAATCGTACCCCTTGAGGGCCATGTCCTCGAGCAATTCGATTACTTGTGGTGGAGTCATATTCATCAATTTCCCTTGACACAGAGAGTCAATGAGAATGTTGTCTTCTTGGATTAGTCCACCGTAGAAAGTTTCAATTCAAAATTTCTCCTCGAACACATGGTGAGGGCATTGAAGAAAGTAATCGGAGAATCTCTCCCAAGCATTCCTCAAGGTCTCGTCTTTTTCTTGCTCGAAATGGGTGATCTTCTTCATCCACTCGGTCGTCTTCGAAGGCGGGCAGTAACGGGTCATGAATTTGTTGAGAAGATCATCCTAGGTGATTGAACGAGGCGAGCGGTTGTGTAGCCATCAGATTGCTTTGCCCCGCTAGTGAGTAGGGGAAAAGCCTCAATTGCAAAGCTTCAGCAGGCATGCCATTGATTTTCAAGCTTCCTGCGAGCTCCAGGAATCTCTGCACATTCTCTCTTGGTGACTCGCTCGGAAAACTGTGGAACAAAGCATTGTTCTGTATCATGGTCACTAGAGCCGGCTTGATCTCGAAATTGTTGGCCGCCACAGAAGGGTGCAAGATTGGCGATTGAATGTATGTCGGCCGTGGGGCCATATAATATCCCATATTCCTCGGGGCTTCCTATTCTGCCGCCGCATCATTTAGGTTACGAGCTTGGGCGGCTCCTGCTTCTCTTGGTTCCCCCCCATTTCTACTCCAATGTCGCGTTCACCTTCCACTTCTTCAACTTCTACTCCATTAACACCGGGACCAAATTGTTTTCCCCTTTCTTCACTTCTCCTCCTTGCCTCCGCTAGCTCCCTCTTTCGTGCTAGGAGTCGGTGAGTTCGGTTTATGTCCTCGTCGCATGGTAGCAAAGGTGTCGAATTGCTCCTGGTCATGCACCTCCCTACACACACTTAGAAAACAATACCAAGTATAGCACAAGCAAAGCACACACACTTTCAAAAATGGAAATTAAAAACTAGGTTAACACCAAACAACTTTTTCATGATAACGGAGCGTTGTTCCCCGGCAACAGCGCCAAAAACTTGACTCGTCCCGAATATCAAAATTAATTCCCGCCTAAGTCCAAGTATAAACCTTAGTAGGGTGAAATACGTGGCAAGTATGTTTAAATATCGACTTGGGCCGGCCCGTGTACCCCTACTTCAATTGTTTTAAACATTTTCTAGCGAATCGGTTTTGATTGAAAAGATTACTAATTAAAGTAAAGCAAGGCAAAAGTAAACAGTTTTTAAAGCTCTATGTGAGAAGGATCACTCGAGTGTCGCTTTCCCCTAACTACTACCATGGCACAAGGAATTGAATTAATTGTTACGAGCAAGGTGACCGCGAACTGTTAGGAAACGCAACTATGGTCAAAGACCAGACTCTCGTTTGCTAAACCAAGGGATACATTATAGGCTACTCAAGTAGCCCTCTTTGTTAAGGCAATCGATGGTTGACTTACTCTCTCACTCAACCCAATGGTTGGTCAGCTTAATCGCGCTTAACCAAATTGTTTAATTCAACATAAAGGTTTGCCCTACATTAACCTAGAAGAATCTTCCCAATCCACCACTTAGAGCAAACCCTAGCCTTCTTTCTTACTTGGTTCGTCCTTTCTCTCTCTAAAATCTGAAGAAGAAAACACTTTCTCACACTTGGGCTCCCCTCTCTCTTCCTTTCAGCTCACATTATATACGAGGATTGGGCTCAGTTCACGGCCTCAGTTCACCGTCGTGAACTCTTCAACGCGTCCGTGAACACAGAGTGCGATGTCAAAACGCACCGCTTCGCCATTAGGAGTTCATGGTTTGGCCTCAATCTTCAAGGTCTTGTTGACCGTGAACTCGTCTCGCGGTAGTAACTGCAGAATTCTCCTTGGACTCATCGCGGTTCACTGTTTTGGGCTTCAGTTCACGGCCATAGTGGACCGTGAACTCCCATGGGAAACCGTGATTTGCGCCTGGGTCACCCTCTTTGCCCGGTTTTTGCCTCTTTTCGTCCAACTTTCGACTCCGGGGCTGGTTTCACCAGTTGGATCCTGAAACACACTAAAACGCACAAAACCTAGTGTAAAACCACACTTTTAGGAGTCCAAATGCTACAAACATCCAAGGGAAACGGGGATAAAATGTGTGCAATTAGACCCGAATCAGATTAAATGTATGTGTAAAAGTTGGGATCATGTTTTCGAAAATCTTCCTCTACTCAACTGTTAGGTTTCAAATCCAGTGGATTTCATGTTTTGGTTTTATTGATTTCTACCAAATTCTCTAAACTCGCCGCTATGTCAAGACGTCCTAATCGTGTACCCGAATGGCTCTAGGTACGATGTTTCGTTGATTTGTTCTTTACACAAAAAATGGTAACATTATAGCACATCAGTTAAATACAAAAAAAAATATTTTTATAAGACAAACTTAATTACAATAAATTAATGTGGGTCATAATGTTGAGCTCGTGATTGACCAAGATATCATGGCTCTTGCGCCCCACCAAATTTTCAACCCGCGTAATTTGGTTTAATTGTTGCTTACACACTCTCATATGACGAGGGGGCATCAGCATACTCCGTGTTGTGGAGAAAAGGTCATCAGAATGTCTATGATGTGATTACTCACTCTCATGTGATGAAGGGTCATACCACCTAGTATGATGAGATAGGGTAGAAATCTGCTAAGTATAGAGGATCCTTAGATGGGATGAGGGAGAGACGTCAAGTGCAAAGGGGGGTCAACCCTGCCCCGCCCCCATGGCCATAAGGTGCGAAGTTTATGCCTTCCCACATGATATGTCACTCACCCCTCATGTGAAGAGAGTGGTGTCTTCCTGCCTTAGTCATATTCAGCTGACAAACGAAGTTAAGGAGGAGCTACTAACTAGAAGGGGCCAAGAGTTAAGTGAGGATAACTACTGATGCCTGGTCATCGGAGCAGCTGAGAGAGTAACTATCACCCCACATCATCAGAGTGGTTTTTCAAGATAGTTACTTATTGTTGTGACTATAAATAGGGGGTGAAGATCATATAAGAAGGGTTCGCCAAATTCACAAGAGGCAACCTAATGTATTCTTTATATTTTTTTCTGCAAATTTCATCTTGGTTATAATTATGGAGCTTTCATTGAATCTTCATAAAAGCTAGTTCATTTACGGTAGCTTTTTCTTATAGATCATAAAAAAATGAGCACCTTTATATGAACTTTGTTCAAGAGGTGCAACTCGATTCTATTTGATTCAAATTTTTTGGTCGAAAAACATTTTCAAACTCGCACAAGTCGAAGTCTTTCAATTTCACTTGACAAAAGTAATTATCATTTCCATCATGTCATTATGAACTTAATAATTAAAGCAGTGAAAAAACAAAGAAATCTATCGCCAAAGGAATGCATGTCTTTTTTGCACATGCGCCTGGTTGTGATTATGATATATCACTCTTAATATGGTTTTTTCCAGCTGAATCTGATGGCCCCTTTTCCTTACCATTTACTACCAACCACAAACATGCATTCCGATCCACAGCATCATGTCCGTGATTCGAGAATGGAAAGAAATAAAGAACTGGCCCTTTCTTCCTTTTCCAGTTTTTAGTTTGGGGCATCTACCAGGGTAACCCTTTTTCGCCCACAGTTCCCAGCTTACACTAGTCACTAGTTGAGTTTTAATTTGCATTTTTTGAATTCAACATAGAGGGAGAAAAAAAAATAACTAATTTGTTGAAATGACGGACTATCAAACGACAAACGAGGATAACCAAAAGAAATATACCTACTTGAAGATGTAGTCTAGCGCCGCGACAAAAGCCTCCAAGACTAATGGTGAAGTAGAACAAGATCACCGAGCGAGGGGTGGTTCAACTAGAGTTGTTTAAACGGATGCAAAATTCATGATGACCGTTTTAACCCTTATCATTTGGTTAGCTTGGTTGGGAATTGGGATACATTAGGTTAATTGATTTCATTTTGTTCAAATTCTCAACTAATTTGTTTAGGCGATTTGGTGTTGTTAAAGACCCTGCTATCCAACCAAATCAATTCTTCGCATATACAATCAATATGAGACCACACCGCTTCAACAACTCCTCTAATGTGGCCTACTATTAACCCCTTTTGGGGGTTGGCGGGGGAAATGAGCAGATCAGTTGAACCCTTCACGGGGCCCAAATAATCTAGCTCGCAGTTGGTGAAATTATGGGCTTCCATCCACGGCCCAAATGCACCTGAAAGCCATAACAGTAAACATACACTATATAGGAAAATGAACCATGCATTGAAACATCTCTTAGCAAAAGTAGCACTTTCAATCGTTATCCTCTCATCATCATACATAGTACTAACCATCTGGTTCACAACGAAAGGAGAAAATGAAACACAGCTGGGCCGTACACTAAGCAACGAACTTCAAGGGGAATGGCAAACAATCCTCCAAAATTGACAATATCCAGCAGCTATATCAAGAGCATTAACTTAAGACATCCTTTGGGCAGCTTCCTTGGCCAACAGTCTCTCCTTGGCTTTGGTCTTGGCCTGCGACTTGGATCCCATGATCCCACCGCCCCACTTCTTCCTGTGCTCGTCGAACTTGTCATTGAAGTTAGCCTGCAAACACGTCGTAAACCAGCTGTTCAGACCCACTACTCAACAACACACACAACATGGTTCTGGAGGACAGCCAGGTAAGATTATAATTGTATGGGATATCTGCCACAAGTTAAAGATCGATAATGAACACTATTCGTTATTAAAGTGTATGTTAAATTGTCCATTACCTTCACTGCCTCCAGAATCTTACTGAACTCCATCTTGTCCTCGTTCTTCACAGATGTAAGGCACAAGGCTGCAGCCGTCTTCTGGTGGACGATCTGTGTATACATTGTTTTAGTATCTGGCTCAAAAAGTAGAGAGTATTGCTTTTCAACACAGGATGGGAACCCAGATATTTACCGCTCCAAGGCGTGACTTGCCCTTCACGATAGCATATGGTACCTCCATCTTCCGGCACAGTGCAGGCAGCCAGACAACTAGCTCAATTGGATCAACATCATGAGCAATAACCACCAGTTGGGCTTTACCCTACATAAAGAGAGTAACGCGTATCATGACAATGGAGATCAGCATGACCAGAAACTTGAAACACAGAATACGGAAGGCTAAAATGTGGAACAATCGTAACAAGATAATGAAGTCGTGAAACAAAGGAATACCTGCTCAATAAGGTAAGTCACGTGGTTAAGTCCATACTTAACAACGATGGGCTTCTTGGACTCAACAGTCTTTCCTTCAGCTTCAGCTTGTGCTTTGCTAATGAGCCTCTCTTTCTTTGCAGCCTTGTCCTCGGGGCGATACTTCAGCAAAAGCTTGAACAGCTGAGTGGCTGCAACATAGGATAATGAAAAAAAGTTAATAATGCATAATGAAATAATCATCATCAGCACCATCAGAAGGGAAAAAAGAATTTTCCTGAAACGTTACCCAGATTTTTATCAAGTGCTTTTGTGAACTGGTTCACAGCAGGGGGAACCTTCAATCGTTGCTTCAGGATCCTCCTTTGCCTTTGAATACGAACAACATGAGGCCACTTGACAAATCTAGTCAAGTCTCTCTTCGGAGGGAGAGCACCACCAATTCCAAATTGCTTTGGCCTTTTCTCAAACAATGGATTGACAACCTTATCCTGCAGTAGTTATTTGTGTATGAGATCTCAAAAACCCAATCGGATTACGGAAAATTATAAATCAATATAGGAAAAAAGTTAACCAACATGAAGCAATTTTCAGAGTCTTCACCAACTTCTGGGAACTGACTAAACGGGTCACAGCATATATTTACTAAAGCCAATCATAATGACAGAAGACAGGAGATGACTAAAGCATCAGAGAATCCCAAGGAGATCAATGAGTAGAACCTACAACAACCCTAAGGAACCCAACACCCAAATGGATTCAAACACAAGCGAACCAAACCCAGTTATGAAAGCTTCAGAAACTCAAGTAACTAATTGAAAGAGATTACTTACAGATTTCTTCTTTGCAGCTGCTGAGGGTTTAGCACCTCTTTTTGGGGCCTACAGACACCAGTCAAGGGCCATAAGTAAGTCACAACAGTAAATAAACGCAAAATGCAGCAAAATATCAAACAAGCTTCCTGCAGATCAGTAACTTCACACAATAATAACATCTCAATACTGGCAAACCATGCATCCAGTTCAGAATCAAGTTTGCAGTTGTGTCTGTCTAAAATTTAAAGCATTCTTAAAACGAAACGAAATAGCAACGAAAATGAATTAACAAACACGCCATAAAATTGACATCAATTTACGACCACAAATCAGGACATTGTTCTAAGATAGTACTCGTAAATGAACTATCTACTCTGCTTCTCCACATAATCGCAGACATTCAATGGAACCAAGAAGCAGAAGCAAAAGCAAAGGCTTGAGGACACACATAAGCAACTATGAGGATCTCCTGAAGAATATTTAGCAATCGGTATCGGCCATACTCTAAACATGAACAACCCACACCAGCTTAGCAAAACTGAACAAATAACCGATCAGCAGAGAGAAACTAGAAAATGAAAGATTAAAGCTTTCGAAGTCGAGCGTATTCAAGCTGATAAACCTAGAATCAAAATCCCGGAGGCTAGAGTGGAACAGATCTAAGTAGCCGGACACGATGAGCAACGAGCTCAAATCATCAAACAAACGAAAGATAGGAGGAGCCTTCAACCCGTTAAAAACAGCGTGGAAAAACTATATCTGTTCAGAGAGTCGGAGATAAGTACCATGGCTAACGACGAGACGGCGGCAAGGAGTAAGAAGTGGCGTCGCTGGTTCCGGCCGAAGTCCAAAGGAGAAAAATATATATGAGCGCGGAGCTCTCGCTTCTGTTGAAGTAGGGTTTTAGGGGTCAGCAGCTTGGCCTGAATGGTGAGAAGGTCGCGGGTAAATTTGTTAGCGCAAAACGAATCTGGCCCATGGATATGGGCCTCCGTGGCTTGCACGTAAGCCCAAATCGATTGTTAAAAGAGTTTTTTTTGTTTATAATCTATTGTCGAAAGAGTTGGGATTGACATGTTTCCCCATCGATCGTTTGGTCTGGCACCCTGTGACGTCTGGTGTGTATTCGTTAAATTGGGGTATCATTTGGCTGCCTAGTCCTTGCGACATCCTCCTTGTATTTGTCGAGATTCTTGTTCTCCTTTTGATAGAGGATTGTGGAGGAAAGTCTGGGGTCTGCCTATCACCCCCCCCCCCTCAAATTTTTTGTCTGGCAAATGCTAAGACCGGTGCTTCCAACAGGGGAAGCACTTCGGGTGCGGGGGATTGGGGATGGGTGGGTTTATCCAGTTTGCTTAGGGGAGGAGGAGGAGACGGTGGAGCATCTTTTCTTTCGTTGTCCTATGGCCGGTACCCTTTGGGTTTGACGGGTTTACAGCATTTGCAGGAGGGGATACCTACGGGGAGTATAGCTTTTAATTTTCTCTGCAGGTGAATGAATGGATTGACAACCCTCGGGAGGTTACTCCGCGTTCGCTTCCTCCATCCATTTCGGCCCCCGCATGGAGATCCTGTGCCAGGTGCTTTACTTTGTTTTGTTGATGGTGCAGTGCAGGATGGGTCTCATAGGGCAGGAGGATGGGTTGTTCAGGATGGGGGAGGATCGATCGTTGCGAGTTTAGCTCAGCATTACTCTGGTGTGTTTCAACCGTTTCTAGTTGAGTTGCTTGCTTTACGGGATGCAGTTCGTTGGTGTGCGGATAGAGGGTGGACTTCAGTCGTCTTCCAAGGAGATGCGCAGGTGGTGCTAAAGAAGATTATGGATGGTGAGGTTCATGATGCAGTAGGGGGAGTTGTTCTTTAGGAGATTCAGCTACTCCGAGCGTCATTTCAGCACTTTGAATGTGCTTTTATTGGTCGTTCTCGAAACAGGGTTGTCCATCTGGTGACAAGGAAAGCCCTTTCATTGAGTCTACCATTGTTGGTGGGTTTCGATTTTGTTGCTTGGCTGCGGTCACTTTGATTGTTTCAGATGATGTATCTATTGTTTCTCGGTAATACGAGTTATCTACTGGCAAAAAAAAATTCATCCACTTGGGTAAATACAATATTTTAGCCACAACTATTATTAAGCGGTGAATTATAGCCCAAACTATGAAAATTCAAATTATTAGCCAAACGTTAACTATCTGTTAACAATTTTGTTAGTAATACTGACTAAACTTTTATGTTTTAAAATTATAAATTAAAAACAGTCCCACGTGGCTTCTGTCGTGGCCGATGACATGGCCTTCTCCGTTAAAAATTCAATAACAGTAACAGACAGTTAGCCATGTATTGACCAGTAATAATAGTTATGACTAATAATTTTAATTTTTATAGTTGTGGCTAAAATATTGTATTTGCCCTCACTTTTTATCATGGTTGAAGTTCAATCTTAAGGGGTCGTTTGGTTTTGGTGATTATTTGGTTGGGATAGTTACAATACATGCATTGTCCACAATGCATCGTTTTTTTTTTTTTTGAATTTTTTGCATAAACAATATATGCATTGTTTGGTTGATGTGACACAAACTATCACTCAAAATGAGTGATAGTTAAATCTCAAGTTTTTAATGAGATTGTTGAGATTGTTTGGTTGAGATTGTTGTGTGTTTTTTTCTTCCAACTTCGTCCCTATATTTTTATGTGTCTTGCTTTTTTAATTACAAACAAAGGGTAAAAGTGACATTTCACTCAAAAAGTAATATAACTTATTTAAATAACACAATAACTATTACATAAACCAAACGATGTAAACTACAATACACCAATTTTCTTATATACATGTATATTATTATGCATGCATTGATGACAACACATCTATTTAACTATCACCAAAACCAAATGACCAGTCACTCCTAGACGTAGCTACGCAGACAATATTAAAACTCCTCATTTAGGAGTTCACATAGGATAATTAGATGGACATAGGCAATGACAGTCAATCGTTATGTTTTGGCTCGACTTTTAGAAATGATTTTCGGTTTCAAAAGGTGAAGCAGGGTCAAACGCCTCTAAAAACTCAGCTTTTGAAAAGTCGAAAAACGCTTTTGTATAACATAAATGTAGAAGCTCCGATTAGGAGCTTCTGCAAGAGCTGTTTTGAAAATACAAGATTATCCTTACCATATTTGATTTTATTTGATTTATATTATTTTAGGAATAAAAAATTATAAATTTTAATATTTAATATAAAAAAAACTAAGGAGATCCATTTTGACTACTTTTTATTGTTTAGAATTTTTATACATATTTTATATTATAAGTCCTTTATAGTCATTTTACACAACCTCTCATATTAAAAAACACTTCTAATAGTTTTTCAGCCAAACACTCAACTGCTTTTTTTTAAAAGTACTTCTCTAAAAGTTTAAGCCAGAAGTTGCTTTAATTTGGGGATTAGCATAATATACAAACTAAATCTTCTATATCAATATTTTTAATAGCTCAAGAACTTTACAAGTATTGAACTATTATCCTATGGAGCTAATTTTCTAATTTTTATGTATTTAAGTAAATTGTTAGAACTATTATCCTATGGAGCTAATTGTTATCGTAACTTGCACTTTAGGTCGACCTTATACAGGATTAGGTTGACCTAATCTGCACTTTTAGGTCGACCTTATATAGGATTAGGTCGACCTAATATGTCGTTTCAGTTTTGTGAGGTGCAACAACGATGTTGACCTTTTATAGCAAATGGTCGACCTCTTCAGGAAGCGCATGGATGGCATGTACGACTACATGGGACATATTTCCACCCAGATGACTGGCGTGTACGACTACATGGGGCAAATGACCACCTAGATGAGCACACTGCAGGTGACCGTGAATGCGATGCGAGATGAGTTTCGATCTTTCAGTGGAAGATACATGCATCCCACGACAGCCGACTACCATAATGCTAGCAACACTAATGAAGAAAATGTGACGGAGGAAGAGAGGGGATAGGAATAGGAACTCGATGATTTTAGATTGTGTGTTTTTATTGTTCAGTGTTAAAAACGATTGTGGATTGATATTATGTGGTTTTAGATTTTAGTTATGTGTGAACAATTATGATTTGTGTTTTATTGTATTTCTTGTTAGTTTGTTTAGTTTTATGTTACGAAGTTATGAGTCCTTGTTATCATTATTTATGACTGGTTCTGTTGGTTTGAGACGTAATTTGTACGAGCAAAAAAACCACCCGCATCGACATACATAAGCAAAAAAGACGCAGGGCATATGTTGATTTTCCTGTATTCGGTCGACCTCGTACCATATTAGGTCGACCGCGAAACCAACACTTGATCTTCATTTTATGTCAAATGATGATGGATAAATGGATACAACACTTCTCTGCTATCTGGTCGACCTCTTTTTGTAAATGGTCGACCAATTTGTTAATGACCGCCATCAAGTGGTCGACCTATATATATACATTTACGGTCGACCATTTTGCTTCTGACGCCAATGAAAAGGGCGACCAATGTTTTATTGTGGTCGACCAACAATGATAACTTAAACTACAAACGGTCGACCACTATATTTTAAAGGTCGACCGTGATAAGTCATCAGGGTGCCCACATTAGTATATTCGGTCGACTTCTATTAGGATTAGATCGACCGAAAAGTACAAGTTACGGTGACATGCATGTAACCATAGGCATACCCAAATTGTTAATCATTTTAAGTGAAAGTGTTATAAAGTGTTATGTCATTCATCATGTAGTACAAATATCTATTTTCTTCAAACGCTTAGACACGCTTAGGCAGCACCTAGCGCACTAGGCAAGACCCTAACGCGATTGAATCACGGTTTAATACAAAATATCCTATGATTGACTTGTCTATTATAATATATGATACTATTTTACAATTCTTATATTCTAGCAGTGGCGGAGCCACCTTATAGCCAAGAGGGGCTATAGCCCCCACTCAACTCTCAAAATCGTGTAAATTTTGAAACAAACTTGGAAAAATATATTAGGTTGTAATGCTTTTGCCCCCCTCCCCAGTCAAACATCTTAAACGTAAAATTTACCCCCCTCCCCTCCCCGGTTCAGATTTCTGGCTCCGCAATTGTATCCTAGTATGTCTCAACCTAACGAAAGATGATTTCGACTCTAATATGGTCAAAATACAGTCAACAAGTTAGAGAGTCGTGCAGAAGAGTAAGCAAATGCTCCCTTTACAACAAAGAGTAACTTAACAAGGCTAAATAATCACGAAAGTGAGGTAGTCCAACTGGCGATTCTATTGATTTGGCATAGGTGAGGTCGTGTGTTTGATCTAAATCATCAACTAGTTTGTCATAAAACCTTTGAATAGCATCAATCTCCTTATAAACACATCTCTCATCACACATAACAACCTTTTTCAGTGGAACGCATTGCATTCGATTAGTTTGGACCTCATATGATATGGGAGTACTCATAGATCAGAATAAGAGTTCGATTAGTTTGCATTCGATCATTTTTGAAACTCGATGGGAGCACTCAAAAATCAGAATAAGAGATTAATATAATGTGTAGATTGGACAATGTTGGAGCATCCCTTATCCGAAGACCGAAGACTATTCACATAACTCAGAAGAGGAGACGTCTGAAATTCTCCAAAACTCATGACAATATTAACAAGCCACGCATTTGCATCGAACTAGAAAATTCAACATAGAATAAAACTCATCGGATAAATGGAATTTCTTCCTCTTTTCGGTTCAAGGTAAATAAGGATGGAAATTAAGGGTTTCGAATACTATTATCTTGCATGGTGTTGGTCAGATTACGTCTTGATTCTATCCAAGTCGCTAAATTCCTTGTTTATTTAATTTCAAAATGACCACTATCTCATCAGTTTACGAAATGTCGCACATGCATGGCATGCGAATATACATGGCAAATTACAACCCGATCCGTTGACCCGATTTGAAACCCCGAAAACTAGAAATTTTTGTAACCCGCAAAACATAATGACCCGAACCCGATAACCCGTTATTTTTTGGGTCGGGTTGGATGGGTTAGCGGGTCGACCCGTTAGACCCGTTCCATTTTATATATCACTCCCAAAATGATAAATCACTCATAAATTGTTGAGATGTTAAAAAAAATTCACAAGGATTTGAATGACATGTTTTGGAGTTTAAGCATAATCAAATATCATGTATTTCTTGTAGTAGTATTACTCTTGTGATTTTTTAACGATTTGCGCAATTTGTATTTCATTTCATTAGCATGGGAGGATTTTAGAATATGTTAATTGACATGTGTTAGGTAATCTATTGTCATGCGTATATGAAAATTTGTGTTCTGTAAGAAAATATGAAGCATGTTTGATATTGTTTCTGAGAACGCTCATAACTCGAAATGACTTGTAACCCGATCTGAAACCGAATGAGCTGGGTCAATATTTGACCCCAAATCAGCCAAGCTAACATGACCCAACCCTTAACCGAAGTCCCTAACCCGAAATTACCCAACTCGACCCGATTGCCAGGTCTACATACGAAAATAATCTCCTACTAAGCTAGTGGTGCGACAAGTAGGTGATACAGATATTCAATTAGGAAAAGTAAAAATTGCATAATAAAAAAGCCATGGCTAAAATAAGAAAGTAAATAATTAGTATTTCACCAACACGTACAAGATAAAATGGCTGGTCAGATAATCATAATCACATTATACCTACAAGTTTCCACTTTCCATGCACCTTTGGTTTCTCAAATGTCATGTGTACGTAAGTTAAGGGGCGGAGTTACTTAGAGAGTAGGGTGTCCACTCTAGGATTGTAAGAATATTTAGATAAAATTTGAATTAGTGTTCAACCTATATATTGTGTCATATAATAATCATGTAGTCTACTGGTAGCTAAACTAAACTTTTAGTCTAAATCAAACAGGTTCAATCCACAACAATCTCATTTTTGCTTTAACTTCGTTTTGGACTTTATTACTTAATTCTCCTCCACAAGGTCCTGGACCAAAGCAAACGGATACCACTCCTTTCCATTCTTTTTGTTACTTAATCCAGCTACAAATGAAAAAATCAACCTCTATTTAGTTTACTTGAGATTTTTAGCTCTTTATACAAACTACATGATCTATTTTTTTTTATCTATGTCAGAATGAACAGAAAGATTAGTGTCAAAGGAATTTTATTTTGTTGATAGGTTGATTTGTCTTTTTCTAATTCTTCCAAATTTCTAAAGCTACATGTGATCATGCATGTTTTCAGGTATAAAGATAGTGAAGAATAGATTGCGAAACAAAATAAATGATGAGTTTCTTGTTAATAATTTAGTTATTTATATTGAAAGAAAGGTAGCTAAAAATTTTAGTTCAGATGCTATTTTGAGAGGTTTAAATGATCTCAAAGAATGTTGCAGACTTTAAAACTAATTATTTTATTTTTATATGCTATTTTGAAAGATTTCAATGATCTTAAAGAACGTTGTAGACTTTAAAACTAATTATTTTATTTTTATTTACATTTATCTATTTTCGGCCCACCCGGTCTCGAAATCCAAACTCCGCCCATGCGTAAGTTATGCAACCAAAATTGCGATTAGAGTTTCCTCTACCTCATCATACTTTTAAGCGATATTAGAAACAAACAAACTGGTTTCAAGGTCCAACAATTCTGAGTCGTTCAAAAAAGTTTAACTCAAAGTATTTGTCAACTATGCATTCAAATCATTCACAGAATTGTGAAACTGAAATTACTAAAGAGGAAAATTCTTTCCACCAAATTTAGTAGTCAATTGATCTTGCTAGCCTCCATAGTGTAGAAATCAGACCAATAAAGAAAAAACTGAACCAAATCACAAGAACCAGAAGCAAAGAATGCCAGAGAGTTGGCCAAATAAATCCATAAGTAGATGACCAGAGAATACCATAATTGAGTGGAATCGACGAAAATACCAAGAAGTCGGGAGAATAGCCGAACAAAATCTCGGAATAACTACGTAGAGAAGAAATTGATTGGTAGAGAACAAACTGGTAACAAAGATAATCACGACATAAATTAAACTTCAATATTGCGACTCTCTGATACTATATCATAAACCAATTTACCCTACAAATATAACTCAACTCGTTAAGAAAAATTCAATTATTAATGTTATGCCATTTACAAGTATCATCCGCAAACAAAAATGTCAATAAATTCCTTCATTTGTTTTATTTCATAATGGGGATCAAACTGGTTTTATACAACTCCCCTACTTGTACCACACACTTAACTTCTTACGTTATTAGGATTTAGGAATCATGGGTTCGTATCGTATGTACGTACGTAATTCAATTATAGTATGCCCCAGTGGCTTGATAAACGCCGATAGTAATTTACAATACCTCCACCAGCAACCGGTTAAGCCCATGATCCTAAATTAGCCCACCAAAAATTCCTGATTCTGACTTCAACATTCCATTAAACAAGTATCAACTATATATCCCTAGCTCTAGCTTATTCTCCACCTTAACCTATTACATTTCTTCCCACTAGCTAGCTAGCTCCATATGTATATATATATGCTCTGCAGCCATTGGAAGGTTATCATTTTTTCCGAGTACAAACTATTCGACTTTATCATCATCATAAACAGGCAGCAAAATGGATATTACAATTGCTCTACGCTTTTTGGGTTCGGTTCTTCTGGCGGTACTGTGGTGTGATGCAACGTTCAGAAGCGGCGACGCAGCAGTCAGTTCAGGCGACCTGAGAAAGATCCATGAAGTCAACAAAATGGGTCCGTATTTGGGGATCGTGGTGCCAAACATGTTCGAGATGAACCCTCTTCTCCAGCCCGGTCGTTTCGTGTCCGACCCGACCACTCCAACCCTCGATATTATGGGTACGTATATCATGTTAGTGTTGTGGTATATGATCCACGATTGAACCTCTCCCAACAACTCGAGTTATTGGGATCAACTGGTTCTTGACATGGTATCAGAGCCTTATGTGACCAAGAGGTCTTGTGTTTGATTCTCGGTGACCCCCATTTGTTAAGCACATGGTATTCTTGTCTTCAGACCTGTGCAAACTTCAAGCCCTTGTGAGTGGCTTTCGTTTGAGGGGGCGTGTTAGTGTTGTGGTATATGATCCACGATTGAACCTCTCCCAACAACTCGAGTTATTGGAATCAACTGATTCTTGACAGTCACGACATCGAGACAGAACCGTTGATTAGCTATGTGGAGTCCAGAAGGAAAAGAACTACAACCCCTCAAATTTGATCTTACGTACGTTATAATGTGTATATATTTTCACACCTTGCAAAACCATTAAAAAAAAATATGGTAGGATGGGAGGATAGGACTACAAGCTAGGGGTGGCTATACGGTCCGGTCCGGTTAAATTGGACCAAATTGATCCGGTCCCAGTTTGGTCTTTTCGAAAATATAAGGACCAAAGATTGGATTGGATACAGTTTGGTCTTGACCCGGTCCGGTCCCAATTTGATCTTGATTTTAGGTGTTAGGAGGTCTCTTATCCGGGTTTTTACCTCAAATCTAAGCCCGAATATGAGATTGGATTGTTTGTTATCCGGTCCCAATCCGGATTATACGGTCCGATTTCGGGTAAAACCAAACAGTCCGGATCAAATAGCCAGCCCTACTACAATTACAAGCCTCCTTCCAAAACTTAGGTTCAATCATCGAAAATTGTTATCATCACCCCCTCCTCCTTTTGCTAACGAAATTTTTATCACAACTTAACACATATGCTCACTTCAGTTATTGTCGTCGTCGTGACAGGAAGAAGGTTTAGGATAGGAAAGGTGGGAGATCAGAAGGTTATCATTGTGATGACAGGATTAAGCATGGTACCCGTTTTCCCCCAAACTGATTAATTCATCATCCTCTGTTTTTTGGGTTCTGATTCTGGGTTTTCCGGCGAGATAATTAGCTGAATGCAGGGGTAGCCACAGAATTACTTCTGACGCTGTTCAACGTGGAAGGCATCGTCCACTACGGAATCGCGGGGAACGCGAATCCGGAGCTCCAGATCGGCGACGTGGCGATTCCAGAGTACTGGGCCCATTCTGGGCTCTGGAACTGGCAGAGGTACGGGTTTGGGCCCAACGACCCACTAGCCCTCGAGTCCAACGGCGACTACACCAGGGAGATTGGATACCTGAGATTCGCCAACTACAGTACTCCGTCGTCGGACAACCTTCTGAACAACGTTTGGTACCAACCGGAGGAGGTATTTCCGGTGGGCGGATCTCCGGAAGTGAGGCAGCACATCTTTAAGGTCCCCGTCGATTCGCATTACCTGGACGTGGCTAAAACGGTCGAGGTACGTAGGTACTCTTTATCGTGCGACATGTCAAGTAAGGGAAAAGATTTTTGTTTGAGTTTATGATACATTTGGTCCTGAACTATGAACTCAGTTGATCACTGGACACACTACTAGGAGTTGACTGGGTAAAAGAATCATGTAATTACAAGGTTACTTGACAATTTTATTCCTTTTTTCAGTTTCGACAAAAAGATAGGTCGATTTGTTGATTTTGATTAGAAATTGTAGGATGAAAGGAATCGGTTGTGGAGGGGGTTAAAAATTTGGAGGAATGTTTTTGTAATAATGAGGATTTTTTTATGCGCGTCAGCTTGACCCCTGTATCAATAGTTAGATAGACCCCAATTTAATGAAAGACTAAAGGACTTTGAACGGTAAGGGTCAGATTAGGAAAATATATATATTTCAAGGGCCATGATAGGAAAAATAAATATTTTAGGGGCAAAGTATTTGAGTTCATGAGCCAAAAATGCTATTAACTCTTTTTTTCCCCTTCATTCACGTCATTTGGTGATTATTCGCGTAATTCAATGCTTATTCATGCAAGAGTTATAATTACTCGCACAAATAGAATCTCAAACATTTTTTCTTTTTTCCCCCAATAATTTTGTATGGGCCATATTTCATGGAATTAATTTTGTATTTTCAATTTTGTGTGTGTAAAAATGAGTTTCATGGTTCATAATCTGCAAAATGACATCAATTTTGATATATTCCTAAATTTAAAAACGAAGTTTACAACAATTTAAATAAATAATTATATACGTGAATAAATAACCATTAATGTTTGCATGAATAAGTATCACTATTACATAAATAAAGGTTGTGAATAAATGCAAAAATATGTAAATGATGTAAATAACCTTAGACTCAGTGGGTGAGCTACGATTAATGACAGGAAAGGCTATTGCTCCTCCTCAACTCTAAAAACATATAAAATTACATGTAAATTTTGTAATAAATTGACAAAAATATAGTAGTTGATAAGGCGTTAGCCTCTTTGCTAATTCGAATACTTTATGCATAAATTTTGTTAGCCCCTGAATTTGAATTTTTGTCTCGGCCAGTGCATGCCACAGACTAAATTATATTGGTTTGGCAACTTTTGTGCAGAAAGACGGTGTGATTCTAGCGAGGTGCGCGACCCCGTCGAACTGCTTGCCGAGAGAGCCGGTGGTGGCGACGGTGGAGATGGGAGTGAGTGGGAGTGTGTTCGTTGACAACAAGGCGTACGGGGAGTTCCTGAACGGCGAGTTCAATGCGACCGCGATAGATATGGAGAGCGCTGCGGTGGCGCTGGTTTGCTACCAGCAAAAAGTCCCTTTCATCGCGATCAGGGCTCTGTCGGATCTTGCCGGCGGAGGCTCCGCTCTTTCCAACGAGGCCGAAGCTTTTGCTCCCTTGGCAGCTGCCAACGCCGTGCTGGTCTTGGTTCAGTTCGTCGCTGCGTTGGCATCTTCTTCATAACACACAAAGCAAAATCATCATCAACATTCTTGTTTTTCTGCGGTTTCAAGTTTTAATTTAATTAACCATGCTAGCTACTACAATATCTGTACCTCGTTTATTTTCATTCTATGATTTTATGCTTTTTTATTGGTATATATATAGTTTGATTCAAACCTGATCTCAATCGAATGCTGTTGTTGCCGGTATACAATCCTATCCCAATCTATTTCATTATTTCAGCATTGGACAACAACAAGAAGTATAACAATAGTTTTTAACCCGGATTGTTTAGATTTTAACACCAAATCAATTACCCATCATTATTTTCACTTCATAGCCAAATCTCGGCCTTAAATCAATCTAAAACTTGTAATACTTTCTGATTTCATTTTAATCTGGATTTTAAACATGTTTGCACATCTAAATGTATTTATTATGATATACGCAACAATATCTTTTTAATATATTTAAAAAAATACGAATGTTTACAAGGTTTGTATATGGTCTGAAATAGAGGTCATGAGGGCTTGATGTGGTCGTAAGCAATGTAGTCAAAAACATGTTTCTATGTGAAATAGTTTTGGTGATCTATAAGCGTAAATCGTATGTATTTAAACTTTTAAACGTGATTTTAACTACAATAGTTATAAAAATGGAGTTTCTGGGTATAAGCGTTTTGGTGACCTAGAAGCGTAAAAACGTAAGTTTTTAAGCTTTAAAGCGCGATTTTAACTATATTGGTCGTAAGGGCCTACTGCATTTTGTAGGGACTAGGATAATGTTAGCAAGATGTGCAAACACGATTTTTTGTTCCAAAATATATAAAAATGAATATAATTTTGTGAAGTACAATTATTTTTTTCTTTTTATGTAAGAAAATTCAAATTAAAATCAATGAGATATAACTTGTTATAAGTAATAGAAGAAAGGTTATTCACTTGATTTGCTCTCAGTGTTTGATTCACGGAATATTAAGGTCTATGAAAAATGAACAAACCAAAAATGAAAAAGTTCGTATTTATGGTTGGTGCTTATCACTGTTATCAGTTAAGATTAGGTTAGTAACTTATGGTTACTCACCAATGCATAGTAATTCCCCTCCAAAAATGAATATTTCATTTGTTTCAAAAGTGACAATCATATGTGTTAGAATTATTAACTAATAGTTGAGTCACACTTAACAACAGAAAAGTGAAATCAGATTTATCGGATAAGCAGAAAAAATGCTCTCGACTGCTGTGACTGCTCAGCCTTCTCCGGCGCCGGTTGGCTTTGAGACTGGCCGGCCGCCGGACACAGGCCAGACTCTTGAGACGCGACCTGCTAGCGCCCTGCCCTCGGTACTGAATGATCATCTCAACTCGAGTGAGATGCTGGTTGATCCTATCGCCGGAGTTTTTCAGGACGGTGCTAATGCTTCAGGGGTTGAGGTGAGTATCTCTTCTGACGACCAGATGATCCTTTCGGAGGCGCCATCGTCACAGGCGGTGAAGGCTCTGAATCAGCCTTTCTCGTATGCGAGCGCTCTCACGGGAGGGCTGATTGCATCTACGCCGCAGCCGATGACAGTTCAATGGACACCGGTCGGGGAGCACGACCTGATCCCCGGCGAGCGGAATGGCGAGCCAGCGCTGAGTATCTCCATGGATTTCAAGAATAGGCTGTGTGCCCCGTGGCATCGAACGTTGGTGATTCGGCTGCTGGGCATCAAGATCGGTTTCCACACCCTCACCTCTCGCCTAAGGGCGTTATGGCGACCGACAGGATCAATGGAGGTCAGGGATCTTGATGAAGCCTGCTATCTGGTGAAGCTCAACAACGACCAAGACTACTTTAAAGCTCTTACGGATGGACCTTGGATGATTTTTGACCATTATATGGCTGTGCAACAATGGACTCCAAAATTCAAGGTGTCGGACCCCCTCCCAAAAACGATGATCGTATGGGTTCATCTCCCCGAGTTGAAAATCCACTTCTACCACAAGGAGGTGTTGACGACGTTGGGCAACTTGATCGGCCGCACGATCAAACTCGACTACCATACCCTCACCCAACAGAGGGCGAAGTTTGCAAGGCTGGCAGTGGAAGTTGACCTCTCTAGGCCTCTTGTTCCAAGAATTTGGCTGGACGACGACTGGCAGCCGGTTGAATACGAAAATCTACCAGTCGTGTGTTTTGAGTGCGGGAAAATTGGCCATTCGTCGGCATCCTGCCCCCTGCTCCGACCTGCTCCTGTCCCGACGGTTGCGAATACCCCTGCCGGCGGTCACCAAGCTTCGCCGGAGGTTGCTCCGGAGCCTAACGCGGGTTTCGGCCCGTGGATGCTTGTCACGCGAAAAGGCCGGCGGAATCAGAGCGAGTCGAACAATAAAGGAAAGGAGAAAGTTTCGGGGAATCTCATAAAAGCCAAGGAGAAGGTTCTGGGGAATTCCCACCATGAGAACGCGGAAAAAATTGGTAAGGGGGCTCTGAAGATCAGGGATTTGGAAGCTCCCTTACCGGTGGTGACGCAGCAGCCCTCGGCTCTCCTGCAACGGGCTTCGAACCAGATTAGGAAAGACAATGGGGGAAAACAGTCAGGGGGAGAGAGGAGGAATGGTAAAGAGGCTTTGATTGAGGAAGGGCCGCCCATTGGAAGAGGCCTGCTGGGCCCTGGCCCATCTAAGGGAGCTGCCACTAAAAAGGGTCAGCCCAAATCGGAGGGCCTCTCGGCCTCCTCATCCAGTACCAAACAGCCGACTCTCTCCGGGTTACCTAGCAGGCCGAACGGGGAATCTTCTTCTGGGCCTCATGGGCAGGACAGCCCAAAGGCTCCGCTCCTCTTCCCTTCATCTGGGCCTCACGGGCAAGACAACTCAAAGGCCCGACCCATCTCCCCCCCTCCCACGCTGGTTTCCACTGGGCCGAACGGGACGGTTTTGCAAGTGATTCAGGTTCCTTCCCAGGACGAGGGGCAGCAGCGCCGATCGGATCTTTCCTCCCCGTCAACGGCCAACCGAACAAAAGGCAAGAAGAGCTCCAAGGGACGTTCGAAGAAGGGATCGCCTGCGAAGCTGAGTCCGGTCCGCCCACTCCAAATTTGGTCTCCGATGAAAGACAGAAAAGCCAAATCGAAATCAAGGATGGCATCTCTCACCCTTCAGGAGATTTCTGCTTGGACGGAGGCGGCTCAATCGGCGACGACTTTTCCTGCGGTGAAGGGTCTGAGCAGCGTCCCTCCTCCCCCCTCGAGCCAACGAGAAACGACGGGAGACCCCGCCCCCTCTTCGGTCTTAACTGGTGGATCCGCCTGATGGCCCTTTCTCCCCGCGCCTGTCCTTTCCGAGACCTGGTGTTCTCGTTTCCTCTTTGTCCCCCCCTTTCCATTTCCTCTATCTTTATTATGTCGTCTATTCCTTCTATTAAAATTTTTTCTTGGAACGTTGGCGGTGCAGGTAGTAAGGCCTTTGCCCGAGCCTTGAAGCTTTCAATTCGTCAACATCGGCCAGATTTTGTCATTCTGCTGGAGCCGCAAATTAGCGGGAGCTCGGCTGATCTGGTGTGCGATAAGCTGGGTTTTTCCAATTCCATCAGGGTGGATGCTGAAGGCAGAAAAGGAGGGATCTGGATTTGTTGGGATGGAGGCCGTTTCTCGACTGAGCTTCTCTCTGCCTGTAACCAGCATATTTCAATCCGGGTTCGGCAAGGTGGAAGTAGCTCGTGGGTTCTTACCGCCGTCTATGCCTCGCCCCAGCAACACCTTCAAGGATCCCTCTGGGACAGCATTATCGACCAAAGCAGAATGGTGGAGGAACCTTGGATCCTCACTGGCGATTTCAACGCCATTCGATCCTTGGCGGAGAAGACCGGCTCATCCTCAGCAGCTACTATCAGGCGGTGCCGGAAGTTCAATGACAGAATCAACTCTGCCGAGTTGATCGATCTGGGTTTTTCGGGCTCGAGGTTCACGTGGACGAGGGGAGATTCTTATCAGTCCCACAAAGCTAGCAGACTAGACCGGAGCCTTTGTAACCTGAAATGGAATGAATACTTTCCTTCCACCTCGGTGTTACATCTCCCCCGCCTACAGTCTGACCATAATCCTATCTTGACCACTGTGGCTACTCAGGGGCCTTTTCTGCCCGACTCTCATCCTTTTAAGTTTGAAGCAGCGTGGCTTACCCATAATAATTTTCAGGACTTTGTCGCAGGTACCTGGGAGGAAGATGCCCTTCTTCCTCATGCGCTTACCTCATTGGCAGAGAAGCTCAAGGTGTGGAATAAGAATGTTTTTGGAAATGTGCAGCAGAAGAAGAGAAGACTCTTGGCCAGATTGCAAGGGGTTGAAACTAGACTCTCTCACGCCTTCTCCCCAGCCCTGGCTAAACTTCATGCTAAGCTAGAGACTGAGCTTGACAAGGTGCTCGAGCAAGAGGAGCTCTTGTGGTTTCAGAGATCTAGAGAGCAGTGGGTGAAGTTCGGGGAGAGGAACACGGCCTATTTCCACCATCAGGTCAATGTCCGGAGAAGACGCAACAAGATCCTATCGCTCCGAGGTGTCAATGGGGACTGGGTGGAGGAGCCACAGGCCCTTGCGGCTCTGGTTTTTGACTCTCTGGCTCGTCTGTACTTGCAGGATGACTCTATCTACGAAGATAGACTGCCAAAGAACGCCTTTCCCAGACTTGACCAGGGGGAATTAATGCTTCTTCTGCGACCTTTCTCGGCCTGCGACATCCACCGTGCCATTTTTGATATGAAACCTTACCAAGCCCCGGGGCCGGATGGGTTCCAAGCGGTCTTCTATCAGCAGATGTGGCGGGTGGTGGGAAGGTCTCTAACAAATTTGGCCATTAATTTCTTCTCTACAGGTTCGTTGCCAGAAGCAGTATCAGAGTCTACGGTGGTGTTGATCCCGAAGGTTGACAATCCGGAGTTCGTTGCACAGCTGCGGCCCATATCCCTGAACAATGTCAGTTTGAAGGCTATCACCAAGGCTATGACCAGCAGACTGAAACCGGTGATGAGGAAGTTGGTGTCACCAAGGCAGAGCAGCTTCATTCCTGGAAGGCAGACGACGGATAATATCATCGTTGTTCAGGAAGCGCTTCACACTCTTGAGAGGAAGAAGGGGAAGAAAGGAGGGCTCATTCTTAAGATTGACTTGGAAAAGGCGTATGATATGCTGAGATGGGATTTCCTGCGAGACACTCTCAAGGAAGTAGGGCTGCCAAGTACGTGGATCAACTGCATCATGTATTGTGTGGAGCAGAACCGCATGAGGATCCTCTGGAATGGGGAGCTGTCTCCACCTCTGACCCCGTCTCGGGGAGTGCGCCAGGGAGACCCTCTTTCTCCCTATCTTTTCGTTCTGGGCATGGAACGTCTTTCTCATATGATTGATAAGGCTGTTGAAAACAGGAATTGGAAACCCATCCACTTGACCAGGGGAGGGCCGCCTCTTACTCACCTCTTTTTTGCAGATGATCTCCTTTTGTTTGCAGAAGCAGAGACGAGACAGATCAGGGTCATTCGGCAGTGCTTGGACGATTTTTGCTTCAGCTCCGGGCAAAGAGTCAATTACAGCAAGTCCCTGTTGTATGTTTCGCCAAATGTGGATCGACAAAGGGCGGAACATTTTAGCAGGCGGGCTGGCATTCCTCTTAAGAGGGAGTTAGGGAAATACCTGGGGCTTCAGACTATCCATGGAAGGGTCACTCAAAGCCGCTACCAGAATCTGCTCCTCCGTATCCAACAGAAGCTGGCTCCCTGGAAGGCGAAAAGACTTTCCTTTGCGGCCAGGCTTACTGTTGTCAAAGCTGTTTCATCCTCGCTTCCTACTTACTGCATGAATACTGAATTAATCCCCAGTACTGTGTGTAAGAGTATTGACAGGATGAACAGGGACTTTATATGGGGAGACGAGGAGGACAAGTCGAAGATGCACCTAGTAGCTTGGGAAAAGATGACGCAGCCTAAGTTGCAGGGTGGAGCTGGCTTAAGATCGATCAAGCAAGCGAACCTCGCGATGCTTGCTAAGAGCGGCTGGAGATTACTGAAGGAGAAAGATAGTCTTTGGACCAAGTTAATGGTGGCTAAGTATGGTCGTCAGAGAGAGAATCTTGAGATCATCCGGCCGATTCAGGGAAGTTCCTTTACCTGGCGAAGCTTTTCTAAAGCTTCTGATATTCTCCGGAAAGGCTGTGCTTGGAATATTAAGAACGGTAAACGCACTAAATTCTGGCTTGATCCTTGGGTTTTGCAGGTTCCGCTTAAGGAGGTTGCTCATGGGGATATCCCGGAGTCTGATGTCGCGGAGCCGATCGAGAACTTTGTGGAGGAAGATGGTACTTGGCGGACGGAGCTTTTCGAAGACCTCATCCCGAGCGAGGTGTCCCAGAAGATCCTTAGCATTGGCGTTGACAAGATGGCCACAGAGGAGGATACCATCTTTTGGTCGGCCTCGTCGGATGGAAGATTCTCGGCTAAATCAGCTTATTCTCTTCAGAACCAGAGTCCGCCAGATCCGGATGAGGGAATCTGGAAGATCATTTGGAGTCTGCCTGTTCCGGAAAGGATAAGGAGTTTTATGTGGCTGGCCTTCTTGGGGAAGTTGGCCACGAAATCTCTTCTATTCTCAAGGAAAGTTACAGACAGCCAGAGCTGTGTTAGCTGCGGACATCCGGTCGAATCCATCCTGCATTTGTTACGAGATTGCACTGCGGCCAGGTATTTTTGGCTCCGTCACAGTCCGTCCGGGCTTCAGTCGTGCTTCTTCACCATGGGCGAGCGGGATTGGCTGCGCGAGAATCTTAGGAGCAGCGAGAGCTTGGGCTCGGGAATGAGCTGGCCAGCTTGTTTCAGTGTTGCATCTTGGCTTCTTTGGAAGAATAGGTGCACGTTCTGCTTCAGAGGGTCAAGCTCTGCACTCTCTCCTCCTTCCCTGGAGTACTCGATCATGGCAAAGTGTAAGTTGTGGTATGAGGCTTGGCAAGCCCCCTCCCCCCTCCCCAGTGACAGAGGGCAGACGAGCACTCGTACTACGGTGATGATTGGGTGGACTCCCCCGATTCATGGTTGGGTGACTCTTAACGTGGATGGGGCCTCTAATGGCAACCCGGGAGCTGCTGGAGCAGGAGGGGTGCTCCGCGACTGTGCAGGTAATTGGATTGCTGGTTTCACTGCGAATTTCGGGACGGCCACGGCTATTTTGGCTGAGTTATGGGCTGTGTATCATGGTTTGGATATGGCTTGGAAGAAAGGGTTTAGGGCTGTGCGCCTGGAGTCTGATTCCCAGCTCGCGATCCAGCTCATCAACAACAGAAGTGATCCTGTCCACCCTCATGCTACCCTCCTCTCAGCTATCCGTAGGAAGATTGGCCGTGAGTGGCTGGTAAGCATTAATCATGTATACCGGGAAGGGAATAGAGTCGCGGACTGGCTCTCGAAGCACAGTCTCGTCTATCCCTACGGGGTACATGAAATTGCTAACCCGCCCTCCGAGTTAGTTTCTATTGTTAGAGAGGATGCTATGGGTGTTTCTTTCGAGCGTCGGATTGTGACGCCTGACTCTTCTAGCTTGTAAAGACCCCTGGGTCTTCTTCTTTGGCTTTTGCCTCCCTTTATGCAAAAAAAAAATTTGTGTTTTTTCCCAGAGATTAATAAAATTAATTATACTCTACAATATGACATTCATTGGGAAATATTTTGAAATACAAAAGGTTAATTGAGCGGTAAAATACCTCGGATACCATTTAAGTTTAAGAATTTGGCCGGGTAGACATATCACTTAAGTTTGCTTCAGGGAATAATTCAATTATTAGAACACAAGACGATAATTGAAAATACTTATAACGCTAATTGATTTTATATTTTCTGTTCAAAAATTAATTTGATATCGGAGTCTTCAAAAAAGATTCCAACTAAACAGGATTCATAGAATATATTTGCTTCAGTGAATAATTCAATTATTAGAACACATATCATAATTGAAAATACTATAATTGACTCTAAATTTCCAATTCATAAATTGGTTTGGTATTAGAGTCTTCAAAAGATGATTCCAACTAAACAAAAAAAAAAGATGTTTTTTTCATAAGCATGAAGGATTTTTCACAATATGAAAATTAGAAGGACCAATTATGAAGGGTTTTTCACAATATGAAAAGTGGAAGGACCAATTATGAAATTTAGGAAATGAAATATTTCAAGTATATTCTGTCAACTTTAGCGGAATGCACTTAATAGTAAACTTACGTGTCGGGTGCGTATATAATAGAGTTCACTGGCACCCGATGCCCTATTCTTATTTATGTGATATAGTTCCCCCAATTCACATACTTCAATGATGCGGGAGATATTTTACCCTTAATTCTATTGAGCAATGTTCACCAGAGTATACTATGATGAGAGAGTTTGGTGGTACATAAGATTATATAGCAAGTTCATATAAAACATATTTTGTTTGTAAAAATAAATTATGGTGTGTGGAATTGTGATGTCCATTGTGGTATGAATATACTGACCACCATCTACCACTATGGTAGAGGAAACTCAACACTATAGACAATAAAGAAAGAACTATTAGAATGTCGACACGTATAGTGATCCTATCATTAGATCGTTTTCTTCGTTTGTAGTCCACTTTACAATTGAATACGACGACATTTCTTAATTAAGTTCAATTCATAGTGTATAGACTCACACAGATTAAAACTGACAATAAACATTAACGATGCGAAATTGATTTCGCTCCCATCTCGACGTCGAAAAGTTGTGGCTGGAAATGAGAACTTGGAATTGACCATTTTTTTTTATCGAATTCATCTCATCTAATGTGAAATTAAACAAAAGTTTCCCTAAAAGCATCTACATCGCCTATTTTTTCCCAATTGCATCACGACGTGGATGTGAGTTTTGTAAAAATTATTCCCAATTGCATCGCCTATTTTTTCTTAATGTTATTCAAATATTCCAAAATATATTTTAAAAAACCGTTATTTATTTTACATACAATTGCAAAGGAATAACAGCAACAATGAAATTTAAATTAGTTGGATTCTAAAAATTATGAGGTGTCATAAAAAAAAAATACATATATGCAATTATAGTGATGCTCTAATTAGCTGGTTCAGTTTCATGACAAACTACCTCTGGCTCTGGATAATACTTCAAAATTTTCGGGTTTTCGTCTTCAACTCTACATATTATGATTTCATTTAAGCAACCAATATATCAAAAGAAAGAAGCAAACAAAGAAGAAGCCGGCGCTTCATCTTCAGAACTCTGCAGTCCGTTTGGCGGCAGCAGCCACCCCACCACCCGCCGCCGCCGGCAACTTCTTCTTCTCCGGCGAAAACAGTGTCCCCTGCTCCGTCTAACTCCGACTCCGACGACTTAACCTCCTCTTTTTCTAACACGTCTACTTGTTCTTCTTCTTCTTCTTCTTCCTCCTCCTCCTCCTCCTCCTCCATATCTGAGGTGCAACTTTGTCTTGTCCTTCCTGATTTCACTGTGTTATCATTGGTTTCATCAGGAATTTAAAGGTTTAAAAAAACCCCCAATTTCCCCTCCATTTTTGGACTGCACGAGAAGGGCAAACGAGTAGCATTGTTGCAGCCTCTTACAGATCCCTGCCTCACATCAAACAAATCCGGTAAAATGTTGTTTCCTAGATCGGCTGATTCCTGGCGCATTCTCGAATTTTTTAATCCCATTCTCTTATTCATTCTTCTGAAACCGTATTTGGGTTTCTTCGGCAGCAGCTCTTCCGGAGGTCACACAACCAGACATTAATGGCGGATTTCGACAGTCTGCTGCTCAGTACCAGTAATAGACATTCTCCTCCTCCCAAGGACTTCGTCTGTCCAATAACAAGCAACATATTCGCCGGTCAGACCTACGAGCGGAAGGCGATTCAAGAATGGCTCGCTCGAGGCAACTCGAGTTGCCCGATCACCTGCCAGAAACTGATCAGCACGGTGCTGCCCCACCGTGGTGAGCGGGTTCGTCGAGATTCTGTTCAACTCCGTCGATTCCACAGTGCTGAAATCGACCGTCTTCCTGCTTTCCGAATTGGGGTCGAGGGATAAATCGGTGGTGCAGACTTTGACGAGGGTTGACTCCGACGTTGACAGAAGGGGCTTCTGGAAGCTGTGGTGCTGATTTACTACCTCTTGCGCTGTTTCTTCTGCTCCGGTGGAATTGATGGAACCTCTGGTGGCGGTGCTGAAGAGGAAGGAGGGTGATATGGTGAAGATGTGTATGAAGCCCAGAACCGCTGCAGTGCTTCTGTTGGGGCAGATAATGGTGGGGACTAGTGAGGAAGGTGCGGTGGAGGCCATTGTTAAAGGTGATGTTGTGGCAGCCATTGTTGGAAGCTTGGAATCCGAATTGACTGAGGAGAGGGTTTCGGTGTTTGGGATATTGTTAAAGTGTATGAGGGAAGATGGAACGTGTAGGAACACCATTGCTGATAAAGCTGAGCTTGCTCCTGTTTAGAGAGCTTCGTTGGTGGGGGTGATGGTGAGAGGTTTGAGATAATTTGTTTCCTATCCGAATTGGCGAAACTCAACAGGTAAGTTCCATCCTGGATTCCATTTATGAGGGTACTGATCAGGATTCAGGCATATCATCATGATTAAGCAGATGATCATCATGATCGGGGTTTACCTTAACTTCGTGGGGAAAATAATTGTCATATATCGAGTTATGCCAGGGAATTTGATGTGTTATGAACAAACTTGTTTCCTGTGGGACGACATTCAACGAGCAAGTTCTTCATATTATCAAGGATGAAGGCATTTCCAGCAGCATGCATACTTTTCTCAACTATTTGCAGACTTCTCCTGTGGATCAGTCTCCTGTCTTGGCTGGCCTTCTTCTTCAGCTTGATCTTCTGGTTTGAATCTTTCTTCTCTTTTTCCCCATGTTCTTTGTTGCTTCATCTGGTATGGACTTCTGATTCAGTTAATTTTGTATGGGTTAGGCTGAGCCGAGAAAGATGAGCATGTATAGGAAGTCGTCTCCATTAGCACTTGAAGTTCTCAAGGTTCTCTCAGAGGGAAGAGACAACAGTGTTGTAAGTCTCTGATGCTTTTCAGACAGTTTGCAGGCAATTTCATCAGGGTTTTCTGCAGAAAGTTCCAATTTTGATTCATTTGGTTCTGCTCGACACTATCCTTCCGCTGCCGGGAAATGAGGGACTTTCCTATAAAGTCAAGGCGGTGAACAGCTCTCGTATCAGGATGATCGGCGATTTAGGGGCTAAGAGAGTGAAGAAACTGGTTAAGAAGGTTCAGTCTCTGATTGGGCCAGTTCTCAGTTATGTCAGTGTATGTAGAGAGGCTTCGAGTGAAGAGAAAGATAAATTGCGCAGAGAGATTGGCGCTGGTGGGTTTAGTGCGAGTCAGTTGGCTGGAGCTGTTAGTGCTGAGTTACTCTTGGTGAAGCTTTGATTGGATTTACGGGTTGGGAATATAACAGTGGAGACACGGAAGGATTTGGATTGTCGGGTCAATTACTAGGGTTCAGAGCTTTTGCTTCTTTGGTAAGTGTTTGTTCTTGCTGCTCTACACTTGAACTCCTACTCCATTAAGAATTATTGTTGAAGCACCATTACTTCACCAATTTGGGTTCAGTTCATACATTTCTAGTTATATGAATATTGCTTTCGTTGGGTGAGGATACAGTTAAATGGCTGAAGAATTTTGCAAGTTATGTTCTGTAGTTCCATTTTTTGTGGTTTCATTACTGTTGTCTTAAACTTTGTTAAAATAGATGTTCTTTTGAGGATGCTGCTAGAGCTAAGTTTACCGGTTGCTTCACTGCTGGTAAGTTTCCATCTGCTCATCGGTTCATACGTTGCTTCGTTGTTGAAGAAGAATGCTTTGTTTTTATTCAATCTTAATTCATCACCATATGATTATTGACTCATATTATGTGCAATTTGCAGAGTTCTGAAGAGGAGATCATGCTGAGAACTACCATGGATATATTTTTTTCTTGGAAGGGGCGAAATCATTCATTAGAACAGAACAAAACATAATCCTGGAGTTACAAAAACACAAAGGAAGAAGAAAGCAAAAAAAGCAGTTGATCTGCCTGCAGAGAATTCCGTAAGCATAGACTTGAAGCAGCTGTTCCTCTATCCCGAGGTCATTGAAATTTTCAGGTAAGTGTGTTGTTTTTTACTGAAAGGAAACCTAGAATATGTACTTCTGCATAATCTTGTGAATCTCTGACTTGCTTGCTACAGGAAAGAAGGAAATCTACAGTCGACTAATCTGGGCATGGGCATCTCTGGAGTTCAGTGCAGAACCCCACCGGACACGAATCTTTCTGCAAGCCCAGGCGTCATGAGAGCTGCCCTCAACTCCTTAGCATCTCTCTCCGGATCTTCCTTCACGCTGAACAGTAGGATCAGGTTGCAGTTTATGTTAGTCAAGCAGTGATATCCCCCTCCGACCGGACTGCAGTAACCTAAGACTGTCCCTTTATCATCCACCTCGAAGCAGGCGGCTTTGATGGTTGCGCTGAACTTCACACAGGGAGGGAAGATTTGGATCCAATCCCCTTCTTTAGTGAGCTTATCTTCCTGAAGTTTACGATTGAGGTGAATCAAGATGTTGTCAGAAGAATCCCTAACGTTAGGAACTTGGAAGAGGAATTCTCCATCAAGGAAGACGGTAAGTTTGCTCGCATCGCTCCAAAAGTCTGCAAAAGAAAAGGGCAGTCAGAAAATAATAAAGAATTGTTTTTTCCAATGCATGAAGAAGAAGAGGACAAATTATGCAAACCCAAAAAAAAAAAAAAGAGGACAAATTCTGCTGAATTGAGACTCACCATCGTTGTTGGCAGGGGTGTGAGTCTTCTTTTCCGCTTCCGCCACCAGGAGGAACTCAACAAGGAAGTCATAGGGAAGGTCCCTTAGATATGTCGATCTTTCATGGAGGAGGGACAGAAACTGGAGATGGGGTTGAAGACCACGGTAAAAGATTGCTGCTTTGAGATAAACTTCAAGCATGTTCTTGAAGTTCGATTCCTCCAACTCGGCCCAAGCTCGATCGAAATTCCAGATGTATTCTTCTAGCGACTGGTTCTTCTGTTTCACTGTGAAAAGGTCCTCCAGACCTCTGGAGAATTTGAAAGCTCGGGGGAAAGTCATTTCCAGCCTGGAAAGTAGAAGCAAGAAAAGACGAGGAGGGGAGTAGAGGAAGAAGAAAGAAAATCGATTGATGTGTTATGAGAACAGAGAAAATCGATTAATGGAGGAGGCTAGTAGAAGCAAGACGGAGGGGGGAAGAGAAAGAAGGCAAGAAATCAATGGGGATGAGGTGAAGGGGCTTTGGTCGAGGATTTGATCAAGAGGATGAATGCGGAGGTGTTGCAGAAGGAGAGAAGGTAGTTTGACAGTGATCCATGGTGGAGGCTGGAGGCGGGAATGAGATTGATTATCAGGTTTGAGTCTTTGAGTTGGAAGGGGAAAACGGAAAAAAGGCGTCTTATTTACAGGGTTTTCCTTATTAGTTTTTACTAATCACCCCCTAACAAAGCGGGAAAAGACAAATATGCCCCCAGAAGCAGCTTCCAAGCGTAGCCTCCTTTCCCACTCCAGCACTCCACATGGACTGAAAAACGAAACCGTCCTTCTCTTCCGCCGTCGATCTTCCCGGAAGAATTTGGTGTAATCGAATTTGGCAGAGTATGCTTTCCTCAATCCTCGTACTGCAGAGAATTCCATAAGGATAGACTTGAAGCAGCTTGTTCTCTATCCTCGGGTCATTGAATTTTTCAGGTGAGTGGATTGATGTTTTTTACTGAAAGGAAACCTAGAACATGTACTTCTGCGCAACCTCGTGAATCTCTGACTTGCTATAGGAAGGAAAGAAGGGAACCATAAGAGGGTCATTTGCTATTCCAGCTCCTTCGCTTGTTCTCCATTACCAGATTGGCATGGAGGAAGAAATAGGCAGGTTGCATGTTTCATCTCCTAAGGCTCTCATAAGTGAGTATTTCTATCTGTCCCTCACATTGTCTGTCTTCGGTCTGTCTCTGCATTTTTCTGTCTTTATTGTGGGGCTGAAGTCGATGTATTTTTATCCTTTTCCCTCAGAATGGTTCTTCTTCTTCTTCCAAAGCTGAGAATGTCGAACCGAAGGGAAATATAGCGAATTCTGATCTACATAGATAAGAAGGGAGGAAAAGAAGAAGGTGGTAATGAATGAAGAAGAAGACGAAGAGGTGAACAATGTATCAATGACAGCTGCTTCATAGTTGCTGCTCACTCAATCACAGCGGAGGAGAGCGACAAAGGTAAGAAACGGAAAGAGGTCGAAGTGAGGGGATGAACAAGAAGAAAAGAAGCAAACTTGTTGCTGCTCAAGAGCTATCTGATGGTAATTTTGATTCAGATGTAGTGCTCAGTAATGATGCTTCAGGCAGTGAGAGTGAAGTAGAAATTTAGACATTACCAATTATGAAACACGAGACCTGAAATCGATATGACAATATTTGGAACAACAATATACGAATGGTGTCAAAACAATAAGTAAAGGTAACCATGAATCTTGCTCTAATATTGATGTCGAGAAGGACAGAGTGTTTTCCTCTATAAGATAATAAGGACAGTTATTATCTTGTTTATTTTCAGTTTTGATGTGGAGAATGGTCCAAAAGCTGCTGATTTTATTCAGGTTCATTGTCTTCTTGGTCTTTTGCTTGTGGGTTCATTGCCGATTTTCTTTCTCATGCTGGGTGTTAATTGACCTGTTTAGATGTGCTTTTTTTATGTGGTTTTTTGCATGCTGTCTGTTGCAAGAGTGGTTGCTTTGGCTGTCTTCCTACGGATGAGTATATTGACCTGTTTAGATTTCTATATCCAAGGGACAACTAGTAATCTCTGGAGATACTTTATGAAAGCTCAGGCTTAGGCTTATGGTTCATGTTTTGGTTAATCTTGCTCTTTATAGCATATTGGCCTATCGGTTTTTTCTTTTTTGGTCTTATAGTGAAACTGCTGTGACTCGTCATCCTTTCATGCTTGCAGAATCTGAGTTTGGATCATTGGTCTCCAGATCACAATTTGTTAATTCTCTTGGTATGTTTTGTCAAGTAAAAGAGATTTTATAGATTGTTTACGATATCACCTTACTGGCAAATTATTTGAAGGCTGTAGCAGATTCTTATAACTAATAAAATTTGTTGTTTTCGGATGGCAGATACACTTTTTTGATCTATGTTGCCTGCTGAACGAGTCCATCTTACCAGCAAGGTGACACTTTCGTTTTCTTTGTGTGGTTGTTTCCATCTTTTAAGATGATATGGAAGTGGTTGATAGGTGTCGTGGGCTCCCAACCATCAAGCACTCGAATGACGGGTTGTGGATCTACGATTTTAAGGAACTTGCTTATGCCTTCAACGAAAAGGGTGACCTTCCGTTCAGTTGAGATTGCTTGCCGGTTTCTTATCAGAAAGTTCAGAGATTCTACGAAATCGGATTAGTTTGCTGGTCGTGTCACTTTGTAGAAGCAGTGAAACCCAGTAACATGTTCGTGCACAATCCTGCGACCTTTTTGAGAATTTCATAAATGCAACTCAAAATATGTGGCTACTCTGACTATCGGTTCTCTGTAGATACTTTTATTGTTGAGAAGTTTCTGTTTTTTGTAAATTCAATATGCTTTTAGGTTCAGCCTCATGGTCCTCACATGGATATTCTTTTGCTAGGCTGGGATTGTTGCAGGGTTTGAATCAAAGGAGGAGCTACCATGACATTAGCTTGATCATTTGTTGGAAAGAAAAGGTTCAGCTGGCAGTGCATAGGATAATCTTTTCTTCTCAGTTTATGCAGCTTAGTTATCATCCTTGCCCCGTTAACTGCATGTAATATGGTTCAGTGAGAAGGGGTGTTGGGATATCTCACTCTAGAGTGTATAGCGGTTTCTATCCTTTCCTTTTGCAAAGATGATGTGCTCATTATTTCTATTTCTCTTTGCTTAGATTCTGTAGATCAGTTGCATGCATTTGAACTGATAATGAAGAAGAATCCAATACTCAGTAATGATTCATTTATTTCCTTTTTACTTAATGTCATGTGCCAGCAGTCTTTATAGGCCCTTGGTATGAGTGGTTGGTTTGCTCCTTACTGGAATCCTACTGACTCAGAAGAAAGATGGGCCTCTTGGAGTTTGCTTTCTGTCTATTTGTTTGGTGGGTGGATTGGTGCATATAAGAGAGGTATACCTTTTTTTTTTTGTATAGTTTTTTTGCATTTTTGTATTTATCATTCTTCTCTCATCACACTGATCGGCTTTCCCTTCCTCCATTTTCAATCTGTTTGGAGCTGGTCTTCGTTTCAATCTTTCCCACCAAGTCCTTTGAGGTGATGTCAGAGATTTATTTGATCAGGGGTGGTCGCCGATTCCATTTTGAGCCAGCAAAACTAGGGAGAATCCATGGACGACCATCACCATGGAAAATCCATGCCCCATCAGTTAAATCTAGAACGTCCGTTGTCACCTTCGTCAGAGCGTTGATCGGATCAAAGTCGGCAATAGTGGCCTCCGCCTAAGAATCTGCAGGTTATTTCTCTCTCTTGGTGTCCCCTGTACTGGTCTCTTTCTCTATTTCAATGGTTTTTAATATAATGTAGAATCCAGTTCCCCGTCCATGGCATAAGAATCCTTTAGTTCCAGCACTCAGCAGTGTAAATTCGATGCGGGAGATGAAGGAGGAGACAGGTCATTTGAAAAGCGTTTCGTTGCCATTCTTTATGTGTTAGATTGTATCTGGTGTAATGGATATGTTTTCATTGGTGGATCACAGATTCTTGATTGTATTTCGATCCTTCCAGCCTACTCTTAATGACGATGGATTTCTTGGGTGGCAACGACTTGGTTTGGTGGTATCTTTACCCTCTTTTCCCTTTTTAAAACGCCTCTAGAAAGTTGGTTGAATTGGATCTATTTCTTGAGTCGTCGCCTGAGTGATTGGTCTATCATATCTGTTTGTCTTGCATTTCATTTTTCTTTGTTGTTTTACCATAATATTAATCATTTCTTGCTTTGTTTGTTGTTATATAGGAAGATCAATGTGGTCTCTCCAGCCGATTCAACAACTCTCATCTCTCACACCCCACAGGGATAGCCGAGGTGAAGACAGACTCAAATTTGTGGTGACCAGCTAACCTCACTCCCCAAATGACCGTGGTGGGCAAACCGAACAAGGGGAAAATTATGAAAATCAATTTGGAGCAAAAATCAGTGGTGGGCGGAGGATAATTTACAACGCTGAGAAGTTCTTAAGGAAGATGAGAAACCGAGGCTGGACACGAGGAAGGTAGTGAAACATTAGGCCCATTAGCTACAGCATGGTGGAGATAGCACAAGTTGGCATGTTATTTATGTTAGATGTCATTTATAGATATTGTGATCATTGAACACGATTTACAATTGTGCTTGGTTAATTTCAGTAATTGGGGATGTTCAGATGCACGTCTTACTTATTCTTATTGATATCTTATCTTTCTTCCCACCTCCAGTGACACCTCTTCCTCTCGGACCATCCAAGGGTTTTGGTATGCTGCTGTTGGTGTGGAGAAACTATATATTGGTATTTTTCTCGGTAGCTCCCCCTGGAGCTCCATCATGAGAGACAAGATGCAAGAAAAAGAAGGAAAGGCATTGCTGAGTCTAGAATTTAGGTACTTCTTTTCTATTTTGAATTTCTAATTTGTGTAGTTAGTTCATATGCAATTGGGTTCCATCTGTATTCAGATTGGCTTCGACCTGTGCTGATTTAGGTTACAGTGAATGTTCATGCCTGTTCATCCTTTCGGTCGCAATGTTTCATTTCTTTCAATTGTAACACGAAAGCATGGTTGATAACCTCTTATGGAAGGTTATAGATAGAAAATCCGGTTTCTCGGGGAGAAATGTGCAGTTGGGACTGGTGCTCCGTACTTGGATCTGGAGATCATAGATAGAAAATCGAACAAACATAACGATACCATTCTTTAAAATATAAAAAGTGGGTACTCTTTATTACCCACAATTTCTTACTACTGTTTCACTACTTGTCGCTTAGCGAAAATGGGTTTTTATGGGTTCTCCGCAGGGAAGCTGGTAGCGGCGGCCGGGACCGCTCCACTTGCGTTGGGTCAGAAGCCAGTTCCGCCGCTGTCCGGTTAAGTCAGCACCCATGCCTCTCGTACCGTACGCATGCTCCGGTTCGTCCTTACCACAAGACCTGCAAGGAATAGTGTTCCTTTTGTCCTGCCGTCACTTCACCATGCTGCTTTCCCAGAATCACCGGTCTACCACTCATAACCCTCTCCGCTCTGATCAACACGGCACTGTCCTTCCTCTCCCTGCTACCCTTTCATTAGTGGAAAAGCGAATTGGTCCATCTCATTTCTACTCGGTTCGTCTTTGCCTCATCTTCGCTTCCTGTTTCCTCTATCCTAGCATAACCTCTTCTCCCTAACTCGCTCCAATGAATCACGTCATCCTCTCCAACCTCACATGGAGGGACAAAGCTCCCCTGCTCAAATACTGTGTCGTTTTCTGTGTTTTGTGAACTAGTGCTCTTGGGTCTTTGCGCAGCCAGCCCCCTCGGCGGAGTAGCAGGCGTCTCCCGCACTGTTGTTGCTCAATTTCCACTCGCCTCGACCGAATCACTGCCCCCTCGACTCCGTTTGCGGCCGAATAGCAATGCTCGGGCAAGAGACCTTGCAATGGCGGAGATCTTTGCACTCGCCCACAAAGCATTAGCACTAGCCAAGTGAGTTTGTTCACTAAATAGTCAGTTTTGCAGCAGCTGTCTTATGTAATTTTCTGTATTGAATGATTGTGTTGGATTTATAGCAAGAAGGCGGTGCAAGTTCTGATGCTTTCCTCCTCCTTATGGTAGGTTGAGCAGGCAGCTTCACTTGGACGAGAATTTTCGTTCGTGGGTGCAAGTTCCCTCACCCTCTGCATTACAAATTTATTGTAAGGGTGAGAGTCTTATGTTATGCAAGAAGGCAGTTCAAGTTCTGATGGTGTCCTTCTCCTTATGGTTGGTTGAGCAGGCATCTTCACTTGGACGAAAATGTTTCAGTCGTTGGTACAAGCTCCCTCACCCTCTGCATTACAAAATCTTAGTCAGGGTGAGTGTCTAATTTTATGATTTAGAGGAAAGATTGTGCCTTCCATTCCTCTTCCTTTGTGCGTTTAGGGTTTTGCTAATGGGTAAAGAAAGCAGGTGGCGAATTTCTTATATTATATATGTTGTTAATGGTTATGGTATTGCTTGAGGGAAATTTGGTATATGCTGCTTCTGTCGTTCAGCTGGTGATAAATCTAGCACAAGTGTGGGATCAGACTGAAGTATTGAACTCTTCAAATATTTATTACCATCTGACCACTCTACTTTGTTTTCCGTTTTTTCCTGAGTACATCAACCCTGACCTGGCATGTCTCAGTTGAAGCAAAAGCTTTTGTTTACGTAATCTCAGTAGAATAAGGGCCTGCACCTCTGAGTGTATCCTCTTTCAGTCTTTTGTTATCATTGTTTTTTGTTGAAGAGAATGGATGGGTTGGCTGTTGATGGAAATTCTCCTGGTGCAAAATTCAGTTATCAACTCTCCATAGTGCCAGCCCCCACCTCCATTTCTGTTTCGAGTTGGATGACAAAGTTTTGTTGGAAGGCGAATATTTGTGTGGTGTTCAGTGAATTTTCTAGGGTAGTAACCAACTTGATGCTGGTTTGTAGATTCACACCACCAGTCAGTCTTCACCAATGCAGAAGTATAACCTAGCCATCAATGATCTCGACAAGGAACTTGACCACTTGAGATCTGCATTTCAGCTATGGAATATTGCTGCCTTTTTCTTGACTTGAGAGGCTCATGTCATAAATGAACAAATTTATGTAGCAAGTAGTTAGCAGATAAAAGGTATTCATTGAACCTGAGTTGTTTTGTTTCTCTCCTTAATTTTGTGTGTCTACCGTATTTTGTATGTTAGGCAGCTTGCAAGGAATGTAGACTGGGACTTAAAAGTTTGTGGTCAGTTCTTCTCTATTGTTTGGAGTACAATAGACCTAGGACGGAACTACTGCTCTCATTTATCTGTTTCCACTTCATGTTTCTTCAATGCTTTCATGGTGTACTACTTTCAACTAATTGCTTACAATTTCCTCTTTCCTTACCGCAAGAATTGGGCATGAAAATGATTCTAATTGCATAGCTCAGTGAGCAAGCCCTAGAACGTAGTACAAATATCATCATAGTTCATGTTAGGGAGGACTCTAGCTCTTACTCTATATTACTCTTCTGCTACGTACTACAAAGAGGTATGATCCATTCAATTCTCTCTGATGCTTTTTTTTTAGGTCCCTTCACCTTCTGTTCTATTCCAATTCCAACCAGTTCCGACTCACAATGAATGCATACCTGTTATCTTCGACCTATTTTTGCTACTTGAAGGTTTTGACTTGATTGCTAACCGTTTCTATCTAATCTACACGTTGGAAAAGGCAGATATGTAGGTCTGTTGGGCTGTTGAGAAGTTCAAAACTTGAAGAACAATGTTATCCTTTCAGAGGGTGAGTTGAGTTATGGAATGCGTTAGTTACACACATGTTCCTGCTTACTTCATCTACTGAAATTGGATACAAAGTTTTTCCTGGAGCCATTACTGAATTGCTTCCCAGTCCTGAATTGCTTTTTCTCCATCTCTTCAGGGTTTTCAGGAAGCCATTGCTGAACTGGAAATATAGGGTGACAAATCTCGCAGGGTGAACTTGATACATACGAGATCTATTTATGATCACTCTTCATCCAGAACTCGCTGTGGGAATTCTGCTTTTGATCTTCTTCCTTAGTTTACAAGGTTTGCTCAATGTTTTCAAATATAATTAAATTAGCTTCAGGTTTGGTACAGTGCTTGGAGATGGAGAGTTTGGTAAGGTTTATAAAGGTTGCCTTGAAGAGTGCATGACAATAACAGTGATGTTTGGATTTGTCTTTCTGTTCTCTTTTCCATTTCAGCTTGGGTTTCCGTTCTCTCATCAATAATGCCAAGTCCAGTAATTTTCTCAATGTTGATTTAACTGCTCAGAGGTTTGATTCTTTGGCCACGAGTCCATTTTCCGTTGTTTGCTACAGTTTGTTGCAGAGTGCGGATGTCGTATCCTCGACCCTTATTTAACTGCTTAGAGGTTTCGATTTATGCTCAATGTTAACGATGTGCCTGTTGTTTGCAGGTATGAAGCTGAGGAGTTTTGGGTTGGACTGTAACCATCTTATTTGAACTACAACATATAAATTTGGCGAGATTTGTAGGTCACTATGCTGAAGGTCCTCTCCTACAGTTTCAGTCAAAAGGAGGAATGCTGCTAACTTTATGTTCTGCAGAAGATGTGTCTAAAAGCATCTTATTTGAACTACTTCTTTCCTAGAGTCCAGAATTCAGAGATAATGAGCTGCAATGGTGACTTACTTGATTTGCATTATTGAATCGCAGAGCAGGATAATCAGGAGGTTTCTGAAATTAAAGCTGGGTTGGCAGATGCTGATGCCTTGGTAATATCAATAGCTTTATCTGTACCCAATTTTATGTTCCATATAAAGTCTCTTTATTAATAGGACATCATTCTTATCTGAGGTCACCAAACCTGTTTGCAGATGCTACATTTTCCAGCCAATAAGCATTTGTTCGTCTTAGGACATCAGCGATGCAAATCCTTTGCATTACATATTTACATTAGTTGTCAAGTGCAATAATTTTTACGTTTTTTTACAACATGTTAACAAATAGCAGGAGAGAGATCAATGCCCATAATGCCAGTCCAGAGCTTCATCACCATATTTCTAACATTTTGTAAATACAAATTGCAGCTGAAGCATGCCTTTAAATGTCCAGTTCAACATATAATATAATTAAATTGCAGAATTGCATTTTTTGAAATTTAAGTTTGAACAAATATGAACTGCTCACCAAGTTCCCTCCATATACCCATAATCCCAGCATGAAGCATGCCTTTACAAATATAATATTTCTACGATTAGTGCTTTTTGAAAATGCATTTGCTTTTTACTTTTGCCTTTAAAATGTGGAACTCAATGGCAAAGATGTACGTTAATTGAGCAACATGCTAATTAACTATCAAACTCAACATACAAAGTTTCATGAACAAACTTTCAATACTCTAAAACAACACACTGCCAATAATACGACGATTCATGTTATCGTCACCTATTGTAATCGACATGCTACTAGATAGTCCAAAATCAAGAAACATGGTCTAAGCGAACAGGTTACCTCTGTTTTCTGTTGTTCGAGTTTCGTAGGCTCTGATGAATCCATACACTTGTAATAGCTAGTAAGCGTTCTCTTCATGCTTTCAAAAAGAAAAGGACAGATCAGTCGCTCAGTTCCAGACAACTCAATCAATCTGTATCCTTGTGTGAATGCAGAGAATGCCCTTTCCCCACTCCTTGCTTTATTCCATTCTGCCCCACCACAACAATCAACAATCATTCAATCCAACTTGAAAGTAAACTCCTTTTCTCTCTCCCCCCCCTGACTTCCCACAAATTCCATCCAATAATCCCCCTTGCTGCAACTGACCCAGCAGCAGTCAAGAAGCTTAAACGGTTCAACCCAACTGAGCCATCTGTTGTAATCCTAAGCTTTTCCTTGTTCGCTCTCTTGCTCTTCGTCTTCTGTCTTCTGCTTCTCCTCCCGCTCCGGTCAGGCTTGGGAGCGCTTCTAGGTCCGTCTTCCGCTTCTGGGTCAATTCACCGGGTCGAGTTTCTCGACGATGATGGGACAAACGGCTGCGATGTGTTTGACGGCAACTGGGTTTGGGACGAAAGCTACCCGCTGTACCAAAGCAAAAATTGCGCCTTCATTGATAGTGGGTTTCGTTGCTTGGAGAATGGTAGGCCGGATAGCTTCTACACCAAGTGGCGGTGGCAGCCCCATCGCTGCAATTTGCCCAGGCAAAATTCCAATCTCTCCCTCTCTGAATTTTGCTTTTCCCACTGCAAAAATTTGAATTTTTTTAGCTCCATTGACAATGACAGATTCGATGCGAGGGTAATGCTGGAGAAGTTGAGGAACAAGCGGCTTGTGTTTGTGGGCGATACGGTAGGAAGGAACCAGTGGGAGGGTATCAGCCTATCTAGATTGATTGATGGATTTCATTTCTCAGTCAAGGTAAGATCATATTGTTTTCTTTTATAATGGTGAAAATTTATTAAAAGAAATGAAACAAGGGGACGAGCCCAGTTCAGTACAAAGAGCAACGGAATGGGAGCACAAGCGGTGCAGCCCAAACCCATTCCCAAAAGCGAAGAGGAAAAAAGGGAAAAGAGAAACGAGACAAACAACACCCCAAACCAGAGAGAAGAAACCAGAACACCCAAACCAGAACAAAAGAACCGGACTGCCAGCAGAACCCGAAAGAAGACCCAAAAGGTAAGATCATATTGTTGATGGATTTTAGTTTATACCTCTTATGGAAGGTTATCAGCCTATCTAGATTGATGTTTCTTATCATTCTATTGAGCATTAGTCAAAAGATTTCCGACTAATGATTATCATAATCCATAATATATCAATCAATCCATATAAAGGATTTTCAATGTTACAATCAATATGCTATGAGTAACATCAGGGGTCGTTTGGAAGTTGCGATTGTGAGTGTTGTATTTATAGAATACATGCATTGTCCATAATATAACGTTTGGAATTGTCAAAGTGTGAAACAATGCATGTATTGTTTTGTGTGAGTCCCGCCTACAATCATAAAAAAATGAGGTATTATACAATCTCAACTAAAAGTTGAGATTGTTGCTTTTAGGTTTCTATCTCCTTTTTATTTCCATTTATATACAATCTCAACTAAAAGTTGAGATTGTTGCTTTTAGGTTTCTATCTCCTTTTTATTTCCATTTATATCCCTAGTAAATTAGATGAAGGGGAAAAGAGTTATATGTTAAAATAAAGGATAAATGTGATATTTCCACCAAAAAGTTACTTTATGTAAGTTAATCACCAAATTATAAACTCAACAACCAAACAATGTAATGTTAAATGCAACGATTGAATCAATACATGTAATTTATATTGCAATGATTCTTCATAATACAACGATTTAACATACACAACTTCTAAACGACCCCTAAATTCTCATACTATAATTTTGAGATTTAACTTAGGAATTTTGAATCATTAAAATATACACCACAATAACCATGTCTTTTCATGCCTCAACGCTTTTAGGGTCGTTTGGTTTTGGTGATTGTTTGGTTGAGATAGTTAAAATGCATGTATTGTGCACAATGTATCATTTTTTTTTAAATTTTTTGCACAAACAATACATGCATTGTTTGCTTGATTTGACACAAACTATCACTCAAAACGAGTGATAGTTAAATCTCAAGTTTTTGGTGAGATTATTGAGATTGTTGTATTTTTTTTCCTTCCAACTATGTCCTTACCTTTTTATGTGTGTTGCATTTTTATATTAAAAAGAAAAGGTAAAAGTGATATTTTATCTAAAAAGTAATATAACTTATTTAAATAACACAACAACTATCACAAAAACCAAACGATGTAGACTACAAAAATCATGGGGCCTGGCCACCTGATGTGGTATCACTTCTCCTTAACGTGCTGGAGCACGTTCTTCAGGGTGTCGTTGTACTCGGCGAAGTGCCCAGCCCCCCTAGGCGCCGGGCGCCCCATATCACTTCTCCTTGGCGGGGGTTGGTTTGCGGGCGCATAGCCCGAACCACTCGGGGGGTACGTCCTCCTTGGTATATCGGCTTCCTCCACTCTTGTCTTTCTCCGATCTGCCCTCCTGGCCGCTAGCGTCTCCTCTAGCATAATTACCTTTTGCACTATGTGATCCAGGTCCTCTGTGGACACCACGTCTCTCTTTGCGAGCGACCTGCATAGCTCCTCACTGGAGGTGCACTCATTCAGGCATACTCCCAGCACCGACGGCTGGGCGTCCTTCACCGCTAAGGCCACGGATAGCCACCTCTCGTAAAACTCCCTTAATGCCTCTCCCTCCTTCTGTCTAACCTTAAACAGGGCGCCTATGGTCAAGGAGCGCCTTTTCCTGCTGGCAAATTTCGCTAAGAACATCGCCGCGAACTGTTCGAAGCAATCGATGCGCCCCTCATCGATCTGATGATACCAGTCGAGGACCACGCCTGAAAAGGTGGACGGAAATACCTTGCACAGGGTGGCGTCTGTGCTGTTATAGAGTTGCATTTTGGTGAAATATCCGTTAAGGTGGTCCTCGGGGTCTCCAGTTCCGTCATAGGCGGGGAGTGGGGGAATGTTTGTTCCTGTGGGCTCCGACAGTAGGCAACGTGCCAGAGGCTGCCTCACGGGGCAGTGGCGTGATAGGCGCCCCAAGATTCCTCCGTTCCACCCGCTAGCGTCCGGCCCCCCATGATCGCGTTGGCGCCATAGATTCGGGCGCCTTGGACACCCTGATTCACTCTCAGACTCCTCCATCCTTTCCCTTTTTTTCGTCGGGCTGGGCGTCATCTTTTCACTCCTCTTCAAGGCGTCCACTTCCCGCCGCAGCGCCTCGATTGCCTCGTCTTAATCCTCGATGATCCGGAACAATTCTTTTTTCGTGACTGAGGCGCCCTCGGATCCCCGAAACACGCCATCACTTTCCTCACCTTCTTCCATCTCGGGCGTCTGCCCCCTCATTCGCTCCGATTGTTCCTCTGTAATTTCTTCCCTTTCTTCATTCATCGGCGCCTCTTCACTCATGACTCCCGGCTATATTCCCCTACCTGGCGCGCCAATTGTTTGTGACACGTTACCCTCGTATGACTCTCCGAAACCCTCACTCGCAAGGCGCCGATCTGCACACACGAACAAGGAGGGGGCGCCTAGGCCCGTTAATCCTCCGATGCCCAAGTTAGTTTCCTGGAAGAGAGAAGTGTCTCAAAACCAGAGTTTAGTGAGAGAGAGTCCAACCTGTGTAAATGCTACCAACCGCCCCTATTTATACTCACCAGAGTTCGAGGTTGATCTTCTCTACCTCACTGTCTCCATTTAATGCTTTGTCCCTTTCTGGTCAGATATCCCAACCACCTTGTCAGGCTCCTGGCACGTGACAGGCGCCCGCAGACGCTGGACCACATGACAGTCTGGCCCCCTTTGGTTTCTAGTGACTTGTCCTTATGTGCCCTCCACCTTGCTTGGGCCTTGCCCCCCAATTCGGCTGTTTGGAAGCCCAAGTTATCGCCCATTGGGCCTTGCTCATAATACCCCAACAATATGGGTCAAGCCTACAATAGATGAGATGCAGAAAGCCTAAATAGCCCTTTCTATCTATGCGGAGAGGCTGAGAAAATTAAAATGGGGAGGGTGCTGGCGAAGAAAGTCTATATAGTATTGGGTAGATAGTGTACAAATAAAAAGTTAGCATAACTTGAACAAAAGAAAAATTATTTATAATCTGGTCATATATTAATTACCTATTCTACGGCATAAAAAGTTACCTAACCATTCTTTTCCTTCCCACTTTCATCCACAATTTTTTCTAATATTCAAACATTGAGTCGTTTGGATTAGAGAACTCGCCACTTCAGGAGAGCGGATCCCATGACTACCGGGGGGGGGGGGGGGGTGTCCTTAGTCACTTGACTAAGCCCCTCCTAGCCATTAGATCTGGACACTTCAATGCAATGATTAAAAAGTGGGAAGGGCTATTTAATTAATGACAGGGGTAGTTTGGGTATTATGGAAAATTACGAAGTATACAAACTGGATTTACAATCAGTACAAACCATACAAACATACGAACAATACAAACTAGAGCGACAAAACATACAAACAGATTCACAAACATTACAAACGTATGAACTGTACAAACAATACAAACTAGACCGACAAACAATACAAACCATACAAAAAGAAAAAACAACCGGGTTGACTTTGGAGGCTTCATCCCTATATAGAGGGGCTCCTTCCCAAAGTCAACCCGGGTGTTTTTTAGACATACAAAACAGTACGAACATGGTGGACAAAAATGACAAACTAGACCGACAATCCATACGAACTGAAAAAACACCCGGGTTGACTTTGGAGGCTTCACCCCTATATAGATAAGTTCTATCCAAAAGTCAACCAGGTTGTTTTTTAGACATAAAAAACATTACAAACATGGTTGACAAAAATAACAAAGTTTACAAACATTACAAAATAACAAAGCGTACAAACATTACAAAATATGTAAACAAACATCACAAAGCACTGTCGCCGGGAAAAAGTCTCTGTCGACGATGGTCACCGGAAAAAATTTTCCGACCAGAAAATCTCTCTCTCTCTCTGGACGGAGACGGCATAGGGGCGGACCTCTCTCTCTCGGGGCAAGAAGAATTCTCCTGTTCCTGGAAGTGACGGGGGCGACTTAATTTTATTATTCATTTTATAATTAAAAGTAAAAAATAAATTTGCAATGGCTACATTGCCCTTCATTAAATTTGATTAATAGGAGCCCTTAGATTTTAATGAGGTTGAGTGGTTGAGATTCACTTAGCCATATGACTAAGGGAACCCCCTTAGTCACCTGATCTCAGCCCCACTTCAGTCAATCCTATAAATTTCTTCCCATCTGCTTGTAATCACTGAAACCACCACCCCTCTTCCATGCCCAAATTCTTGATCTACCGCAAGTGTGGTTTAGTAGTACATCGTCTATGACCTCCAACCAATTGAACTGCTCAATCGTAACTAATTTTTAAAAAAAATTACATATAAGTAGAATGTTTAGATGTCATTCGGATCCATGATCCAATCCACCAGTTCATTTTATACATTACATGAATTCATTTGATTCAAGTAGTCCATGAAGCTAATTTCACCAATCTATTTGATTTATGAATATACCAATCTAACGATCCACCAATTCATGGACCCAAATCATCGGCCGGTTCTGGTTCTGGTTCTGGTTGGTATCGATCCCTTAATTTGATGGGGAGCAAACTTTGTTTGTAAACATGCCAGTGCACTGTCCGCCTGCAGTTGGGTATGAGAAGCTTATGTTCTTGTCTCCCAATATCCAATAAAATCAAACGTTTACGCTCGCTGGCGGGACCATGCGTTCGGGCAATAAGTTGACCACTCTTCCAGCCTCCTTCCACAATGGATTGTGTACGGAGAGGGCCGGAGCAGGGATGCTTGATCCAACACAAGTCGTCGCCGCCGCTGAGCAGCCATACATCGACCCTCGAATAACTCCACACCGGGCCCTTAAACAGAGCAAGCGAGTCACCATACAGTCCAAGATGAAACTCGGGACCAACACCATCACCACCGGAAGGGCAGTCTATCCGGCGGAAGACGTGGCTGCCCATATCAAAAGCCAGCACATAATAATTCATGACCTTGACAAGGTCCCTCACTAGCCAGTAGAAAGAGCCTTTGAAGTAGGTGTGGCAAGTTAGGGTTGGGGAACAGGGGTTCTGCAGTTGCTGCCACGCCCACCCTCCTCCTGCTGCTGCTTCTAACTCCCTCCAACGGTTGCTGCGCAACGAATACACAAAAGCTGCAACTAGGTCATGGTACTTGCGGATCAGAACGACTTTGATGTCGTCGTCGGCGTCCGAATCGAGCCCGATTCCGGCGTAGTCAGAGCAATGCCGTTGAAAAAGCGCCAGAGGTGGGTCGGGAAGCCGTCGGGTTTCTCGAGTTGCTGGGTTCCACAGATGGTAAGTGACGGGATGGGGGGCTGACCGATGGTGATTGTCCCGGAGAAGAAACAGACCGTTGCCCGTGCCGCAGATTACTGTCTCGGCTGGCAATCTCTCGTCCGTCGGGGGTTGATCACCGTCGTCTTCAGGGCAGAGCGACACCGATCGCGGGGGATGACGTCCCGAGGAGGACCCGTCATCTTCCAAGTAGGAGCAGAAGAGGGAGGCCTTGGTGAAGTTCTTGAGGTGCATCGAGACGAGGCGTGGATTCCCTGGAATCGCGGCGTCCCAATTCGTGCAAACCGACTTGAACCGAAACAGAGCTTTCACGGGCACCCGAGACAGAATTGCAATCACCATGTCGGAAGGGAAACCACCGGATCCGGATTCCAGCTCTTCTGACTCCATCGACGCTTCGGGTTCCTCTTCCTCAATCCGGCGGCGCTTGCGGAGGGTGATGGGATATTCCTCACCGGCCCGCTTGTTTGTGGAAGCCATCGCAACGGAGAAACCAGAGAGAGCGACGACCGACGCGGGCTGGGAATGGGATAGAGAGGGATATAAATAATTTTCTTTCGCTGCGTGCCAACTAACTCATCCTCAACTGCTATCTTATCTATCCTTTTATTGTTATCGCTTTGTTTATGTCAGTCAAAATGCCTAATCGCATCAGGACTCCAATCCCGCACCGGAATTCTAACTCCACAATGATTCTCCAAAATTGGATATAACCAATTATAAAAATAAAACAAAATTGTATACAACATAAAATTATTTATTTGTAACTCGTAATGGATTCTGATATATAATGAAAACAAAGGAAACCGGATATACGTAATCAATGCTATATGTTTTCAAGTATAGGGCGTGTGATAAGGACTAGACAATGAATTTGATCCATACATTTTTAGGAATTTAGTTTTAAGCAAGATTTCTTATTTTTTGCATATCAAAGTACTCATTTTAAATTATAAATTTTAATATGCGGAATTGAAGTAAAATTTTCAAATGAATTCCACAAGTATTTAACTAGGAAGTTCACAAAGTGACATAAGTACGACGTTCACGTTTGTAGATAACACTAGATGCATATGTCGTTTGTTTGTTGTATTCAAACTAAGCCAAAACTATGACGCAAGTGGTTGTCACGCCGGCCGGCGTGCCACTGGTTGAACCTGTACCGGTCATAAAACCGGTATGATACCACCGGTATGACCGGCATGATCGATATACGAATCTCTAAGTAAAATGATCTTATATTAGTGAATTTATTTGATAAAAAGTAATTTATTATTTTTTATGTGTTAAAAAGTTAAATGTTGATGCTATTTGTTGGATTCAAGTACAGATATTTAGGTATTGACGTTAAATGTCGTGCTTAAATATTATTATTTATAAATTATTTGTAATATTAAGCGGCATGAACCGACACAAACCGGTATGTACCACCGGTCGAACCATTTCACTTGCTAAACCGACACACTGGCACAAACCGGTTTCACAACCTTGCGCAAGTCCAAGCTCCACAACATGCAGTAGACTTTATGTGTTCCCGGCTTCCCGTTGGAATGTTTGGAGTACAAGACATTATAATACGGGTCGGGTCGAAATTGAATTGACAAAGATGTCCCTTTTCTTGGCGGGAGGAGGTCACTGTACTGTTTTCTTGCAAGAACAACCAGGGGTCTTTCAATGGCGGATCCATGGAGCTTTGGGGGTGTCCTGGGACACCCCTAAAATTAGGGAACACAATTATTCAACCCCCTGATAGTAGTTTACATATGGATAAAAATATATTTAAGTGGTGGCGGAACACCGATAGAATTTGCAAAAACGATTATCCAACTCCTAGTAGTAGTTTGCATATGGGTAAATAAAAACATTCAAGTGTTAGTCTATGTGATTTGAACTTTGGTCGCTCCTACAATAAGTAAACATATTTTCATTAGACTACAACTCATTTGTTCTTGTATTTTAAATTCAAATATAATAGTAAAAAGCTGATTCTTATCTCCAATTATTTTCAAAAGCTAACGATTGAACTCATTAACAGGCTTCCCTTGTCTAGTAGTATATATCGAGAGTTGTTAGACAACGATTGTATTTTACAATATTTCCAAAATACGAATATATCATGTTCTTTGTTGTATTTTATACAAATCAAATATTTTTTATTTAATTATTAATTTAATTTTTAGGAGAGAACACTCCTATGCTAAATTTCTGAACCCGTCACTGGAATCTTTAGACTGAATAATACTTGCCTGTTATTCCTTTTGTTCTCGTTTAAATACATCAGAAATGGAATTCAAAGTCCTACCAAGAAGGAACTACTTTCCCCCGTCTAATTACTGCCTCATCACACTCCACTTAAGGTGGGAAGATGATTTATTGACTCAACGAACAACTACTCCTAACCAGGTGGCTTGACTCATTCAACATAAAACAAATCTCAGAAGCTACTGCTAACAATGGCAACGAACAACAAGCTTGATTGGTGTTGGGCTACTCATAGTGTTGGTAGCGTGGATTGGGCTGATGCTCCCGAGCTGATCGTCGTATGGGCCGGGCTGAATGGCGAGTGGGCTCATTGTTACCTCCCCCAGAAGAAATGGCATTGTCCTCAATGCCCATTGCCCAGCTGAATGAAGCGGTCGTGAATTCCAGTGGCAACCTCCCAGGTGGTGCATCCTCAGGTAAGTTCTTCCACTTGATGAATAGTTCTTCTATCCAGTGAGGCCCTCTCTTAAGTCTTAACCCATCGACGCTTCAGAATTACAGCCGGTTGGATGATGAGAGACCCATCGTCGTCAATGGGAGGAATTTCGGCGACGGCAGTTGGTGGTGGGATGGGGCAACGCCGCAACAGTGAGACGTGGAAACCCAGGTGGACCCTGTAAAATTCGCGGAAGCAGTAAGAAAGAACAAGACGAGATTTACGTGGTTTCCCCGATATCGGGACTAGTCCACGAGAGACCTCAACTCTCCGGCTGTTTTCTTATTGATCAATGCTTAGTTATGGCCATTGGCCTTACAGTTGGTTTTATATCCTTACATCTATCAACAAGGATAAAGCAGCTAGGGCATGCAAGAGAGACGTGCTGTGCATGGGGCGCCGTGGACTCTCGGTCGGCTGGCCCAACTGCAGACAAGCCCAGGATGGGCTTTGTGAAGACTGGCTGGGGCAGCTGGCCCATGTCTGCCAATACTCCCCCGCAAGCTGGAGAGTGAAGATTACGAACCTGCAGCTTGGACAAGAGGAAATGGAAACGCTCGACACCCAAACCTTAGTAAACATGTCAGCAATCTGGAGATGAGAGCTGATCTTGATGGGTGCGATATCGCCAGACTGAACACGTTCACGAACAAAGTAGCAGTCCATCTCAACATGTTTGGTGCGCTCGTGAAAAACCGGGTTCGCCGCGATATGAAGAGCTGCCTGATTGTCGCAGTGAAGAGGAGTAGGGCCATGGGAAGACACACCTAGTTCCCTGAGAAGCCACCGCAACCAGAGTACTTCATTAACAGTGCTGGCCATAGGACGGTACTCTGCTTTAGCAGAAGATCGAGCAACTACTTGCTGCTTCTTGGTTCGCCAGGAGATGGGCACACCACCAAGGGTAACGACATAGCCGGTAGTAGACCTGCGAGTCGACTGACAACCACCCCAGTTGGCATCACAGTAAGCAACTAGATCGAGAGTGTTAGTCGCAGGAAAGAACAATCCTTGCCCCGGAGCAGCTTTTAGGCAGCGAAGAATCCGGTTACCAGCATCCATATGTGCCTGAGTAGGAGCATGAACGAACTGACTAAGAATGTTGATAGCATATGTGATGTCCGGCTTGGTGACAGTCAGATAGAGTAACCGACCAACCAATCGACGATACGCCGCAGGATCGGGATGATCAGCAGGAGCAGGCTGAGTAAGACGATGATTCTGCTCAACTGGAAAAGCACTGGGGCGACTAGCCATGACACCGGAATCATGGAGAATATCAAGAGTATATTTTCTCTGACTGAGAACCATACCTTCTGGTGACCGAGCAACTTCGATACCCAAGAAGTATCGCAAATCACCTAAATCCTTGATGGTGAAGCGAGAATGTAGAAAATGCTTAACACGGTTCATGAACGCAAGATCGTTCCCACTCAGCACAACGTCATCAACGTAAATGAGTGCTACGACATGAGTATTCCCCCGGCAAAAAAAAAACATAGAGTGATCTGCAGGTGATGAACGGAACCCCAATTCACAAAGAGCAGTCGTGAATTTTTTATACCAGTTCCGGGATGCTTGTTTAAGCCCATAGATTGACTTATGAAGGCGACAAACACGCGTATCTCTAGGTGCAGCAAAACCCTCAGGAATCCGCATATAAACTTCTTTATCCAAGTCACCATGAAGAAATGCGTTATTCACGTCAAGCTGATGGATGTACCACCCTTTGCTAACAGCAACAGCAAGGAGATAGCGAACAATAACCAGCTTAGCAACTGGTGCGAAAGTTTCATGAAAATCCACCCCTTCTATTTGAGTGTAAACCTTCGCCACCAGTCTGGCTTTATAACGTTCCACAATACCATCGGGATTAAACTTAATTTTGTAAACCCACTTAGCTCCAATCACACGCTTCCCGGGTGGCAAAACAACGAGACTCCACGTGCCATTCTCTTCAAGGGCAAGCACCTCTGCTGCCATGGCACGTCGCCAGCATTCATGCATAAAAGCCTCACGAAACGTGCGAGGTTCGGGGTTGTGAGCAACTGCAGCAAGAAAGGCGCAGTAAGAGGTAGAAAGCTTTTCATATGAGAGATGATTGGACATAGGGTAACGCACTGAATGAGCCTCATGACCTGTATAATAATCATCAAGGCGCTTTGGAGGAACTCGAGCTCGGTCACCTCGTTGCAATTGCGGAGGTGGGGAAGGCGATGTAGAATGCGGCCGAATGTCAGGTGATGATGTAGAGGCCTCGGCAGGTGAATGAGAAACTGAGGAGGGCGGGCCGCCAGAATGTTGAGGTGAAGAGGTGCTACTGGGCTCAGCTGGCCCATGTGGGGAAAAGGGCCCAGCGGGCCCAACTGAGGGCGAGGCAGGAGGAGGCCCATCGGGGAAGACCGTCGGCAAAGGCGGGACGGGCGCAGGATCAGCCAGGACGAGCTCTTCGTCCAAATGGTCAGCCTGCCGAGAAAAATCACCATGGGGAACCCAATGAAATTGTTGTGAAGTGCCATGTTGAAAGGGAAATATTGACTCATGGAATATCACATCACGACTAGTGATAATTTTCTTGCTCTCCAAATCGTATACACGATAACCTTTCGGGCTTGCTGCATAGCCCAGAAAAACACTTGCACGACCACGTTCACCAAATTTATCCAGATGTGAGTGAGTGTCCTTGCTGTAAACAAGGCACCCAAAAACACGCAAATGAGAATAACTAGCTGGATTTCCAAATATTACCTCATAAGGAGTACGACCTGTGGCAGTGGTGGGAAACCGGTTGATCAAATATGCGGCAGTAAGTAGGCACTCTCCCCAAAAACGAATGGGTAAGGAAGCCTGAAAACGCAATGCATGTGCTGTCTCTAAAAGATGACGATGCTTGCGCTCAACCACACCATTCTGTTGAGGCGTATCGGTGCAGGAGGTTTGTAAATGAATGCCCTCTTTCTCATAGAAATCACGCAGCAGCATGGTCCCAAACTCATAGCCATTATCAGTTTGAATCTTCTTTACCTGTTTACCAAACTGAGTGCAACGAGATTGCAAAA